TTAATAAATAATAAAGATACGTACACATTTAATCTCAGGATTCCGAGTTTCCCGGGCAAAATTAAAGTGTTTACGTGGTGAATTGTTAAACGACCCTTTGTTGGCCAGGGACCAAATCTGCTATAGGCTCTCTCGCTGAAGCGTTCCGCACAGCACACCCAGGCATAAGACTTATTTAAATATATCAAAGCAGCGTACAGAAAGAGAGCCTGGGACTAGGCTGTAAATATAGCTAGTATGTGTTGCAGTATTGCTCTAAACAATTAATATTCATTAAATACAAACACTTTAATTTATACCTTACTCATGCTCAGTTCAGTACTTTCGTCCTGGGATGTCTTGTTGTTTTCTCCGCTTGCACCATGTGCCTGATTCTCGCCCATGGGAAATTTTTCCGCATCAGAAGGCGCTGAACCCTTAAAATGGCATAAGTACTTTTAAAATTAAAATATTCTTACCACCAATAATTAGGGGACTCTGACTGCATGGACAACTATATACGGCAACATTTTAGAACCGCTAGAAATCTGCAATGGCTCAATATACTGGTCTTCCTAGAAGAAATGTTTCTAAATAGATTTGGTAGAGCGGCTATTCAGCATAAATATGCACTTGAGTCAGTTTAGTATTTTGGCTCCAACTGCATGCCGCACATGCCTCGTGTGATTTTGTTTTTTTGCATCAAAGTTGCTTAATTTTTTCAGTAATACAATTAACGAACCCTAGAAAATTAAGTAGTGGTCCTTAATTATTAAAGTTTCAGGGATAACAATTTAGCCTTAAAATAGACCATGGGCATGGTAATTGGTAAAGTTTCTGATATAAATAGGTTATAGCACTCGTTGCAATTTGGCTTTAAACAATTAATATTAATTAAATACAAAACACCCTCATTACCTTACTTGCTGTGCTCTCTTTCTGGGATAACTTACTGGGGCCGGTTGTACAAAACGTTTAACTACATTTTAATCATGATTTAGTAATTAAATAGTAGTTAAGTGTAAATGACGCAATTTTGATTGGTTAACTTTTGCACTAACTGTGCAGCAGTTAACTTTAGCTACCTTTTTATGCAACCGGCCCCAGTTGTTTTCCCCGCTTGCGCCGTGTGCCTGAGTTTCTCCCATGGAAGATATTTTTGCTTCAGATGGAGCTGAAACCTTAGAATAATATATAAATTATTTTTAAAATTGAAAGAATCTTGTCACTAACAAGGGTCACTTACTGGACCACTATAGGCCAACAATTTAAAACCGATAGCTAAAGCTATCCATGCAATAGCAAGTCAATATGGTTTAGTTAAGGTTTCGTTCTGTATAGTAATAACTGGACCCATACAGCTAAATGTTTCTACAGTAAATAGATTTGTTTGAACTATTCAGTATAAATATGCACTTCTGTCAGTTTTAGCATTAGTTGCATGGTTACCTGAATCGCATGAATTGTGTCCAATTCTGACTGAGTTTTCACTTCGCCACTCTTGTCACTCCTCTGAGTCAGTGTCTCGCATAGTTCTTGTTGTGAACAGGAAACCTGAATATGTTCAGCAAAACTGACAAGATTTTCACCAATGATGATTGCAGTGCATGCGATAAAAAGCCAGATTAAAATGTGCTACGACTTGTCAAGGTATGGCTATGATGAGGTAATGAAACTCTTTTTTGAATTGCTGTAGCGTTAAAAACCTTAACACCACGTTTATTTGTTGTAAAATAATAATCCCTGTTTTTTATGTACTATTTAAAAAACGAGCAGGAGTGTTTTATTAGGTTTAAAGCCACGAGCGCGCAGCGCGAGTGGCTTTAGACCTAATAAAACACGACCTGCGAGTTTTTTAAATGGCTTCAAAAACGTTTGCATAATAAGTCAAATCTTTATATAAAAATCTTTATATAAAAATATTTATATAAAAATCTTTATATAAAAATCTTTATATAAAAATCTTTATATAGTTTGCATAACAATGGTCTTTTGTTAAAGTGTTCTTTAGCTGGTATAAAGACGTATGCACGTGACTAATTTCTTACTCAAGATTGGATAATTGCTTCATGAATTATTAATGAGTTTTTGAAGAACATTTATTACTTAACTCTTGTTTTCCTAACCTCATCTGAGTTTTTCATTATGATATCCTCCTCATTTGAATTTCGTGGACTGCGTAAGTTCTAGAACAAAGAAAATTAAGATTCAACGTAAGATTCTATATTTATAGCACAGACATAGTAAAGAACGTGAAAAGTAAGATATAGCCTTTGGAAAATTTCACATTGAATTATAATTTTTCGTATAAACCGTTTTATGTGAGATTGAAACATTTCATATATGTGAAAATGTTCATTTCTTATGTGAATTTTAGAATTTCACATATGAATCGAGTTTCACATACTTTGAAATATAAATTTCACATGTGAGGTAAAGGGTTATAATATGTGAAAATTAATTTCACATGTGAAATAATTATTTCTTTTGTGGAATTGGAGCACTTCACATGTGAAATCATATGTGAAATTTTCAAAGGGAGGAACAACATAAAATACTACAAGAACAATAGTTTTTTCTCGTTATCTTCTTTTCTCGCTCACTATGTTGTGTGTATCCACTGCTTCTTCAGTTCCTGCTACCGCATGGTTGCCCTTCAAAGAATCTTTGTGAACCAATGTAACCTGAAAATAAATTACAGGTCGTTAAGACCAAAATATATAAATACAGTTTATATTGCTAACTATTAGCTACAAACTAACTTTCTATTGCGATCAGATGAAGATTAAGATTGGATGAAGAAGTGTCAAACGTAATACTTTTTTGGCACTGAACCACATTTTTCGTACTGAATCAAATATTTGATACTGAATTACATTGTCTGCACAGGATCAATCCTAATTTTTGGCACTAAATCATATTCTTGGCACTGAATCACAATTTTTGGCACTGAAGTGTTACACAAAATTCTCTCTCCTAATGGAAACAAATTACTAAGAATGATATGTCCACGTTTATGGAAACTTTTCCCACCAGAAAAACCCAATCTCTGATTGGAGACAAAAAGTGCATGCATCTTGCTTGAATCCCTGAATCGAATTTGATTCCTAATACATTCTGTTTGCATCATTATCGAGCCTATCCCCACAGCTTTAATGGATATATTATTTAGGGAAACGGTTTAGAATATATAGAGCTATCCCGTATAAATAAAGTTGGTCATAGTTTGATTTAAGACAATCCACATGCTGAGAAAAACATCCTTCACCATTCACCAATAAGGATTTGGTTAGTGACTGGGTAAATCTTGTGCGTATACTATATAATCCTATTATATATAATCCTTACATGTAAGTGACTGCAGTAAATAATAACAGAAGCGTTTTTAAAACTGAAAATTATTCAAGTATTTCATTTGTTTTTATGGTAAAAATAAGAGTTGGATCTTGCTAATTTTTTTAGCCAACAGGTAATTGGTAGATTTTCTACCATGATATTTCCCGCCGCTGTTATTTGCAATGCGCATGCGCAGCTTAAAGCGTATGAACAATACTTACCATTGTATTATGTTCTTCGTCGAATCTATCGCCATCGTCGGTTTCAGTCGGCGTAACAAACAAATTGCAGGTATCGAAGAAAATATCGGTTATTTTAAAGATACTTATTGGACCGTTGTACCCTTCGTTTACAAGTCTTCCGAAAAACGTGAACATCAATTTTTTCAGCTGTGATCTCTAATGGAAAGCAAAAATCAGAAATGTTATAGTAGTTAAATAATATCCGCATAGTTTCGAGTGGAATTTTACAAGGCAACCTGCATACCACTTTGAGTGAGAGTTGGATTTCGGTGGCATTATCGTCGGAGCAATATTGCCTTTCACCGTTATAGGATTGTGGGTTCAATTCCCGCTGTGGACTCGTGACACTTTTGTGAAAAGAGTCGGTCAATGCTTTACCGAAAGGCGTGGGTTGCTGGTACTCCAGTTTCCTCCCACAGGGAATTTTGACAGGGTAGTTTGGGATTAGCCCAAAACTGACCCTGTGCTCTGTGATCAGGCACGAGTCCTTGAGCCTCGTTTCCATATGGTCGTAATGGTCGTAAAAATAGAATCACGATCATTCTCAACGGCCAGTTTATAATAGTTCATACCTGTAAACCACATATAAATCATAAGTATTCTCTAGCTATAATCACTTCGCGTATTTCAGTTCTAAAATGTTGTATTTCGGCTGATGAGAAAAATCGAGACTCAATCTTTACGACCGTTATACGTGCATGGCGCATGAAACTGGAAGGCATGCAAGTTAAGTCTGCGACCGTCACTATTCATTTCCTAAAATGCACAACAATTCATATATACTTTATCTTTATAATATTCCAGATCTATAAAAACGACACATGATCCTTTATGAAAATGTCTCGTGTAAACATGCAGCATTATTACAAAGCATTTACTGATGAATATAGACGATTGTTTTTGAACCACAAGTGTGAATTCGTACTGACAATAAAGTATAATGCGTCTTAACACATGTTATTGCATGTTGTATACACTAATGTTTAATAAGCCATTTCTAGCTAATTTCGTCAGTTCCAAAAATGTTTATTCCTGTTTAAATGAATGTATCTTTGACAATATGGCATGGAAATGTGCATGGCATATATCAAAATTTAAGTTGGATATCGCTGAATGTCAATAAACTTGTTTTAGTGTCATTGCAATTTTAGTTTTTATTTTGCAGCAATTCAAACAGTCGTACTTTTTTTGCCCCACCCGGTATATAGAAAATTAAAGCAGTTTTTATTTGCCAAGTTGTCTATAAGTTAATCAGTTTCGAAATCGCACAAAATAGATAAAAAAATAGGTGCAAAGACTGCTTCAAAGTTCAAATCGTCTTTTAAATGTACAGGTTATAGTTCAGGAAACATTTCGAATATATAAAAAACTGCTTTAATCTCTACCTGACCGCGTAGCTCAGTTGACAGAGCATTGGGCTAGTATTCCAAAGGTCGTAGGTTCGATTCCCACCATGGCCGGGCATATTTTTCAAGCTCGCCCGGTGTGAATATACACTCAGAGTAACATCACAAACATGTCATATTCACCTGAGTACACAACACCAACACAGAAAAAATCATATTACTAGATTACATTGGTATCGAAGGAACTAGATTCTGTTCCGAAATATCACTTACTCGAACCGACCTGACCGCGTAGCTCAGTTGGCAGAGCTTTGGGCTAGTATTCCAAAGGTCGTAGGTTCGATTCTCACCATGGCCGGGCATATTTTTCGGGCTCGCCCGGTGTGGATATACACTCAGAGTAACATCACAAACATCATATTCACCTGAGTACACAACACCAACACCAATACAGAAAAAACCCCAAAAAAACTGCTTTAATGTTCTATAAACATTTTTTGTCTACTTTTTAGCCATAGAACTCTTTTTTGTGAAGTACTTTAGAATATTAATTTTAAGATTTCGAGCAATAATAGAAATTTATAATACAATGTCAGAAATTCCAAATTTTTGGCTATTAGCATTAATTTCACAGATGCCTCCATATCTGATATTCATATACTTGTGTCAACGTCTATAACACATCCTGTCAATTGGTGCTTTCTTCACAAAGTTCACAAACTTTCACTTTTCCGCCCCATTACATTTTTGGGACCGGATTACATTTTTTGGATTAGAATGAGTAGCATATACCAAAAGATGACTTTAATGTCGCCTCAAATTTCGATAATGCGAACGAATTTATTATGCCAAATTTGAATAAAGTAATTAAATCCCCGACACATGCAGGGACTTAATTTATGTAGGGATCTGTTAGGCAGACTCATAGTAACCTGAGTATCAGGCTTTATAGAAAAATAAAGCCTGACACACTTATTATTAAAATACTCTTCCGCCCCCTTCTGCGGCACACGTCATTGATGAATAAATATCCAATCAAAATCACTTCCGTTTTCAGTTAAATTTACGCGCGTCTTTCACGTTAACGGTTTGGCGGGAGAGCATTGAGTAATATACATTCATTAAACAATCACGTAAATGAGATTTTGTAAAGTTTGTGGCGAAAACCTTCGAAAGGCGGACGGGTCGTGTATTTCTTCTGTTCCACTTTTTTCAGAAACAGTAAACAAGGAGTTGTGTAGTGCACTGGGTGTCCAATCAGTTGTACTTGCGAATTTGTTGTCGAAATTAGGAATTGTCTTGAATACTGCTAGTCAACAGGATGATCATTTTGCTTGCAAGAAATGTTCTAGGAAAATTGTAAACTGCTATAAACTATTTTCTGAGCTATACAAGTCGTTTGGATATTCAACGCTTGAAGAGAATCTCCGGTCACGTTCGCTTGAACGATCTCCGACTGGCCTAACTCCAGATTCTAAACGGCAAAAAATCGCGTCCGCAAACACAACAACTGCTGGAAAACAAGCGAGGACATCAAGAAAAGCACTCTTCGATAATGGCCCTGACAATTATTCAACTGTAAACGACGAAGTATACAGTTTGATGAATATATGTACTGACGCACCCGATGATAATTTACCGCCCGTCGTAAAGGTAGGAACTTTAGTGCTGAACGCTAAGTTTAAGTACAATAATTCTGCACACTTCTTTTGTACTGTTGTTATATACTGTTGTTATAAGTTTTGTATTATAAGTTTTGTTCCAGATATACAAACAGATTAAAGGCAATTACTACGTGCAGGCTAACCTTTTATTGAACAAATTTTGACGCCGTCTAACACTTGGATTTGAAATTGACACAAACTATGCATTTATTTGCATTTGACATTTTTGCTGTTGTATTTCCATGCAAAGTAAAACTAAAAACGTTGCTGCACGATAAAGTGTTAAAGAGCATAAATATATTTTTCATACTGTTTAAAAAATATTTCTTGAGTGAAAACATGTTGAATGACTTTTACTTACAGTCATAATTTACATAATTTAAGTTAAGAGTGTAACATTTTCAATGAAATCGACAACGTTGTTATTTTGTTTACAGTCTTGATATGCTACTGTTCCTAGCCGGATTCCACGCCGATTATTAAACGTTTCGTTATTTCTTAACCTAAATATTAAATTATTTTCAGATTTTCGTTGCTTATCCATCTTCATGTCGAGTGAAAGAGCGCAGTTGCGAGGATAGACTTGAAGGGGCAATGATAAAACAAATTTGTCTGGAAGATTACAAAGCCGCAGCAAATTCTGCCTTGAAATTTCCACCATTCCGTCAAGCAATCGTTAAAGCCGTAACTGATGAAGTAAAGAGAGAAATGCGCACCTATAGCAAAGGCAATTCCGTTGCAAAATATAATGGTAATCCGTTAAGTTTGAAGGATTTTAAGAGCGATGACATGTTACTTGAAATGAAGGAGAGATTACCTGTTACACATGCTATAGTCACAGCAACTAGTAACAATCATGCAAGAGTTAAATTTCTAGAAAACAAACAAATTCTAGCATTCTTCAGCCCTACTGAATACGTGGCTCAGGCGAACTAATTTCGTTTATCGACTTAACCTGCTTCTTAGCAAAGGGTGTTGCAAAACTGAAATCATGGACTTGTTTCACAGACTTGGTCTCGCCAGTCACCCCAATACGATTCGTGCCCAACTTCAGTCTGCTGCAAACCTATCTGCCGACGAAATCTTGTCTTGGAAGACTGAAATAGAAGTCAATCGAAAAAAAGCTAACCTGATGGATGAAGTTTTGAAATCCCAAACTCAATCATCCCAAATCCAAGATACCATGGAAATATGCTCAATCGACTTTTCGAGAGAAACTGTAGAAAAGTACCAGTATTTCGATACAAATAATTTTGAGTTATGCAAAAACATCCTTCCTTCAGGCAAATTCGACAATATTCATGAGGATAGTGATATACTGCATGCTTTGGAATCATTGCGACAAGAAAGCCTTCCATATTACAGGTGCGGTAACGCGGATGAGTAAATTACAGTAAACACCGTATTTATACGTATATATCCAATCCTTATCCACGTATATATCCAATCCTTATCCAGCTTTGGATTTCGACTGTAGGTTCTTTCTATGTAACTAGGGATCATAAAGGAAAATCCTAATTTAAATGTTCTCTATTCGTTCGTTCTAATTTGCAGGCGTTCGACAGTAAAATGCATGAAACCACTAGCTACTGATTAATTAGCACATGAAACGGGAAATCCCCAAATCCGTACGTTCTTATGATGTATATATTTAACAGTGTGTCTATGGCAGAATGGTCAACATTTCACAGAAGTTTAAGATATAATAGATATGTTTTACACTATTCATTTTTCTATATTTTAAAATAGGATAGTTGGAGACAACCTTGATCTCGAACAGACAGCGAGAATTCAGAATCATAAAACTACGAACAAGTCATTACACTGGTTTCAAATATATGCTGTCAAGGATAGGGTGTCATGCAATGAATTGCCATCTGAGAGCCCACAGAAAAGTTTGGATGACCTACATATGAATGAATTTCTTCCAACTGCAGAAGTCCACTCAGCTTTGTTAAATGATCTGATACTCCTTATTCCAAGAATTATTGTGCAATACCTACCAGCATATGAATCTTTCACAAATGCAGTTACTTGGCATATCAGTCATAATCATTCAGATGAAATGAAAAAGAAGTCTGAAGTGGTATGTACTTAATTGATTTTCATGCATGATTGACAAGCTACTGTGTTGTCAATGTGTTACTTATACATCTTCAATATTGTTGCAAACCTCATTTATTTTTCAATAGTGTTCTTTGGGTCTTGAATTCCTGAACTCAAACAATGCAACTGAAATGGCTGAGATCCTCAATAACATTCAAAACAAATTTGTTCCAACTGCAGAAGTTAACAATCAGAAGTATGTGTTACAGAAGACCTTCCTAGATGGTGACCAGCTGACAGAGGAAAGGGCCAGGAATGCACAATTAGCAAATAGCCTTGCAGAAACAGAGTACGAACGTTTGGCTGGCTTTGAAACTGCTTTTGCTGATTGGCATCTTGGGAAAAACTTACTTATGGTAAGAATGCTATTCTAATAGGCAAATGGTTTACTATGTTATTTCACTCTTTGCGGTACCAGACTATTTCACTTGTCAAGGGAAGATCCTTTAATATGTGCTTACAGTGTACAGCCAGCCTGATAATTTCGTCCTGCTATGCTATTTAGTGTTTATAAACTTTGAAACAGTCACTTTCTAAAGAAATGAATGATGATTTAAAATTTGCATATATAGCAGGACCAAATTGTTGGGTTTGCTTCACCATTGCTGCTTATTAATATTAAAATTCTCTTCTCTAAATTCTCTAAAGATATTTTCTATACATAGGATAAGTAAGAGTGCAAATTTATACCTGAACTAAAATTTCAATTTTTTCTTTTTCTTCAAGATTATGTTCAATTTGTTTGTCAAAGCAGAGTCCGCTAGTAGCATAGGAACTAGTTATGCATCAATGAACCGATGTGGAAAGACGAATGCAAAGAAAGGGCCGGACAAGGACTATAATTCATTCAAAGAGTTCATGGACAGAGAAACTGAGGCACACATTATTGCAAAGTGGATGGGTTTTGCTGGAATTGAGAATTTTAAAGGTATAAAGCCTTAACCATTTAAGAAATTTATATTTTTCATTTAATGTTTAAAAACATTTTTCATTGCTGGTATTCTTTTTTTCTATTAATTTATCTATAGTCAACTGCATATTTATTATGTATCTTAACATGTATAAGATAGAAGAAACATTTTGAATTATGTTTCTACAGACACCCCTAAAAACAGGCCAATCCCTGCAGATGAAGATACATGGACGGTTGAAGAAAAGTCATCATGGTTGGCTTCAGAGACCAAGGAATTCCTAAGTGGTGTCTTGTTAAAGCAAGAAGATTTCACCAATAGGGTTAGCAATATTGATGCAGCTCACAGGGAGGGCTTTTCTTGTCGTAGTCCCAACTGCCAAACTGTATTCTCCTTACATTCAAGTAGAGTAAGGTATGTGTAGTGACATAGAGAAATTATTCTTCCCACATGTCTTTGTTTATAAATGATCAAGAAACAATCGTGAATTGACCTAAGCACCCATATATGAGAAAATGTTATGCAAAGTTAAACATCCTAATAATTTAAAATATTCATTACAGGCATGAACTATCACAGCATCCTGGATTGGACATTGAAAATGATGGTGACCATGACAGGGACAGCTTGGGTTATTACAAGTGCAGGAATGAAGAGTGTATGCATATTTTCACTACTAATGCCACACGAAAAAGGTAATGATAAAAATAGAAAGATTGGCTTTCTCTTGAAAAAAATCTATTATTAAAGAAGAGTGAAATGAGGGTATAACAAAGTAATACAATGATACTAGTTATGAGGAAATTCGTTTCACTTGATAGGTTAGCAAGTTGATCTATTAATTTCTCTTGTTAACCTATCAAGTTACATTGTGCCCTACATGTATTAATTTATTCTTTATTACTTATTCTTTAACAGTAATGCCAGGCAGTTTTTGCACCAAATTGAACAGATTATTTTATTCTTTCACTATCATTACCTAGCACATGTATCACCATCAGAGTTTATTACTCGATCTTTATAAAATACTATTCTTTTAAACAGACATGAAAAACAATTGCATCAGGTGGAACATTTCCATGAAGCAGAAAAAGATCAAGAACCACCCAATGATGAAGAAAATAATGCAAATAACTCCAATGACAACATCTACAACTATCACAATGCAAGGTTACAATGTGGTCTCCTAGTATTAAATATGATGGATGCAATAAAAGAAGGGGATGGCAGCCGACTGGTGCGGTGTTTGAAGATAGTTTTACTATTTGAGTACAAGTTTAAGCATACTAAATATGCTTATGTTTTGTTGCTATTTTTTGCAAAAGTCAATGCACTTTTGTCAAAAAAAGATGCATATTTGCTTGTACATAATAGATTTATCAACAAAAAAGGGAAAAAAGCAGGAAACATTCCTCTAGACCTTCATATGGAACATCTTAACTTAGATGTTAAAAAACTCCTCAATGCAATGGGTGGGAAAATCACCAAAGCAGCAGCCCAGCGATGTGCACAAAGTTTAACAGTAACAAATACAGTGTTGGAAACCATTTATCACGAGTGTGAAAAATCCCATCGCAGTGGTTATCATGGGGAGAAAAATAAAGATGAATCTGTCAAGTCCATTGCTGCAGATCTGTTACAAGGCAAAGTGTTTGATCACATTCCCGGGAGATATTATCCAGGTTTTGAACGTTGCAAGAGTAACATTCTTGATATTGAATACAGGGATTTCTTCACATGGGCAAAGAACCACCTTAAACATTGGAAAGGGATTTATGAAACAGCAAACAAACAATAATACAGTAAGCTGTCATTCATACATTAATATTTTTGTAATACTTGTTTACAAGCCATTAAATACTAAAAAGTGGGACTGGATAAATTACCTGTAATTTACTTTCAATTGATCATAATGAAAAGGATGGCAGCATGTACATTTTACCAGAATGCATTGCAAGCATCAAGAGTAAATGACTGAATGAAGATGACATGAAATCACCTAATGATGAGAAATTCTAGCACAATGAAGAAATTGACCTGCCTTATGCATGTTTCTGACTGCAAAGAATTCTTAAAATGTACATCTGCCATCTTTATCGTTTTGGTCAATTGCTTAATACAATATTACATGCACAACAATGTCTTTATCATAGCAAAGCCAATAAATATAAATATCAAACATGCAATGACCATAACATACCAGTTAATTGAATGAATCATCACTATGAAAGGATGCAGGATTATCATGATTCTCAGTCTCATATGGTGTAGCAGCATTTAGAATTGTGTTGTACACAGGTCTTGTCAATGCAGCAACATTATGAAGACTTCCATCAATCACAACATCTTCAAATATTTCATAGAAAACTTCAAGTACGATCAGTGCCACATGAATCGACGAAATAAATCCATATTCCATAAGGTCATGGATACTGAAGATTTTCTCACAGTTGAATGTAATTGACTCAATCACATTGTCTGAAAATCCATGTGTAATAAGGCCAGAAGAGTCAAATAATGTCACACCAGAGCTTACAGCAAGGGAAAGTTGGACTTCTTGCAATGCCTCTTTAAGACATGTTCTATCATCCTCTGTCACCACTCGTTGCATAGCCGTATTAGTTGTGGGCTTATTAACCACAATATGATCAAACTCGTAAAATGGATTTGTGCATTGACCATCACCACCACATGCACATAATTTATGACATCTACTGCAGCAGTCATGCATTGTTGGCACATCTATATTATCCTCAGTGAAATGACATAACAGAAGTTTCCGTATGCAATCATTCTTTTTTATCACATCTCTAATGGGTTGATCACAGAATCTAATGTGCTTCCCTTGATAAAATATTATATTAAATGACTGCTTGGCATCTCTGCCAGCTCTCCCTGCCTGTTGCAGATGGTCAACAAGACTTCTACCAGGTCCAAAGTGAATCACATAGGTCACATGTGGAAAATCCACTCCCATACTTAAAGATGTTGAAGCTATAGCCACTCTTACTGTTCCAGTACCATTAAATGATGTACATATTCTTTGCTTCTCAGATTCTGGAGTGGCAGAGTAATATACCCCTAAAAGGCATCTCTCTTGGGTGGTTACATCAACATATGCATCATTACCGAGCTTGGCCATGAGTGAACTTAGCACCAATACAATATCACTAACAGTGTGGCAGAATATTATGGTATATGGTGCATCTCCTTTTAGTGACTTTAGAATGCTCACTAGCCAGTCAAAGCATGAAAGATTCTTATCAGCATTTGCAACTGTAAATCTTATATTTTGCCTGTTAGGACTGATCAGAATTTCCTTGTGCCCTTTTAGGTTTAAAAGTTTGCAAAGTTTCTGTCTCATATACTTGTCTGCAGTTGCTGTTAGCCCCAACACAGGCTTATTACCCAAGAATGAACGCAAGTCATTAACATGACCAAATGCTCTCCGAAAGGCAGCTTTTCCTTTTTTCTCACTCCCCCTAAAACATTTAAAACAACAAATAAATCAATGTAATAGTAGTGTAATTATTAAGTAATCTTGTACTAGACAAGATTAAAACATAAACAAGATGAAAGCCTACAAAAATTTAGGTCAAATTTTCAGTAATAATTTAGGTCATTTACCAATAGTGGATAAACAAAACCATAAGCTCTTATTAGTCTTATATTGCTTCAGTCATGACTGTGTTCTTGTATAAACGTTCTAATTGGCACTTTAATATTAGTAGGCACAATTGTTGTGCCTGCTAATATTAAAGTGCCAATTAGAACGTTTATACAAGAACACAGTCATGACTGAAGCAATATAAGACTAATAAGAGCTTATGGTATATGTTTATAATTGAAAACTATACATAATATTTCATTAATCAGAAATACTTCTTACCATGTCTGAATTGTGTGCACTTCGTCTACTACCAATACCTCTGTTTTGTTCAGGTAGCCGTACTTTAAGTTCTTAACCCACTTTTCGGATAACCACTGCTCAGCACTTCCGAAAAGGACCTCGAATTCGCAAAGCATTGTATCGTCACTAGCCTTAACATCCTCGAGCGAAGCAGATTTGATTCCCCTTGCATTCAGTCTTTCTACTTGCTGCTTACGAATCTGCTCGAGTGGACTGACCACGATAACTGTAGCTGTCTTTCTATCCCCTGTATGGTTGTATCGCAATTCGGATATAACCTTTGGGAGTATTTGGTAGATGATACTCTTTCCGTATCCTGTTGGAGAATTACGGTCGTTTCGCCAACGGGTCGTTTCGCCAACGGTCAGTTCGCCAACGTCTCAAGTCGATTCGCCAACGTCTCGGGTCGATTCGCCAACGTATATGAAGACATGCATCATAAACTGTACGGCATTTATGGACAGCAGGTATTTTGTATTTTTATATAATTATTGCTGTCTGTAGAGCCAACTGTAATTTGTTAGTTTGTAAAATGCTGTAATTACTAATTAGTTAAGTGCCCCATATATGTAAATCCTGATAAGTTCACCATGGGAAAATAAAGAAATCTTCTATTCTTTTCTATTGGGCTATTCCATTTAAAGACGTAACCCCCCTATCGAGGACAAGGGTTTTGCCATATCCCTGAAGAATTCCTGACATAAAAGACATCCCTGAAGAATTCCTGTTAAGGTGGCTCGATATAGTTTATATTACAAAAATCCTGCTCAAGAATCGCGGACTCAAAACCGGGTGACCATTTTAATTTTTACGCCGAAACTGTCGCGGAAACTGTTTAACAAAATGAAAGAAATTCCAAAATGACCTGATGTGAGCAGTTGCTCGCGCCATCTCACGTCATTGCGCGTGTTCTAGTTCAATGGTTCTATAGCGTTTTATGTCAATTGCGGACGTCATTAGAATTTTCCATTTTAGAAAAACAATGCGCTATATCTCTTTATTTTGTCTGGTGACCTATGTTCAAATTTTGCATGCTGTATTGTACCACTAAAAACTTTCATTATACAAAAAATAAAAAAATTCTGTAATGCCAAAAAAATTTTACCGAAGAATATGACATTTTCGCATTTTCCAAAAAAATGGCATTACAGAATTTTTTATATTTTGCTCATTGTTAGCTTTTCGTCCAAGTAAAATAATGCAAGAAAAAAAATTGGGGGTCACCATGCTTCTTTTCCAACAAAACGAGACGATAGGCCATTTTGGAGCGAATTTTGTACACGCATGTCGTCATAGCAACGAACTATCTGTTACTAAAACTAATGTAATTTGAAAGTAGAGATATCAAAATATAAAAAACCCCAATATCTGCTGAATATATCCTAAAAATGCGTAGTTGGAACATCTCAAAGTGTTGAACACCTGAATTTTTGAAAACTGTATCGAGCCACTTTAAATAGCCCTGAAGAAATCAGCATTTACCCCTGAAGAATTTCAAATTTTACATCAGGAAATCTCATTCAAAATAACCAGCCCCTGAAGAATTCCACAGGAGAATTTGTTCACCCATGAGGAATTCCAGGGTTAAAAATTACCTGAAGAATTCCAAGGTCCTCGATAGGGGGGTAATGGATATTAAATGGAGTAGCCCAATTTCTAAATGTATTCTGTACAGCACGAATACTGTTATCTTACTAGCCAGGAATTATGTCTTTGAACTAGCCAGGAATTATGTCTTTGAACCGGTTTTTATTTCATTACAGGGAGGCTGGTTTTCAGCCTGATTTCTTGGTAAGTCAAATACAAAATAAGTACAAAATTTATTTACTCATATTTATTTACAAAATTTATATGTCTACATATTAATGGAGCTTTAATATAGAATGATATTATATTTACACTGATCATATAAGAGCACTCGCAAGGTGTCCATGTCTACGTGAAAGGATGTATACTGAAATGGTAATTAGTTCCTTCAACTATGTGAGCAACTGTATAATAGATCACTGTATTTTATACAGCTAATTCAAAAAAGGTTGTCCTTTACAAACCTTAAACTCTAAACCTTAAACCTTAAACTCTAAGCATGCAAAGCTTAATGGGAGCATCATTTAATCACTTTAGAAATCATAGATTGGGCCAATTTCTTAGAGACATGGTAAATATCTCCTTATGAGAACAATTCATTCAAAACAGTTGCAAGATTCGACTATTAAGCTTGAAACTCAACATCAGATTACTTTTCTGCACATGATTGCGAACTTCGATTTTACTGTGTTTACTGTATTTAGTAGTCTCAATCAGTCGGAACAAACTGTGACATCTTAATTGTTGACATCTACTCAAAATTTTTGGCTTGAATTCCCTAGTATGTACAGTGTTGCCCAAATAAAACAACAAATATGTATATTGCAGTACAACACTTTTAAACTTATTGGATATTTAACTTAGGAAGCGATGATATATACATGGTGGGAGCTATGGGGATTTTGTGTGTGTGTGTGTGTGTAGACTTTTGGAAACATATAAACATGAAGCAGAGTATTAAGGCTATATAGTCTATTTAGAGTAATTAGGTAGAGTAACATACTGTAATCCATTTCTTGTGACAGAAAACTAGGTAGGGGATGGCAGATGTTTATCACATTTCTACAATGTACAATTAGGACTTTATTGGATGAGTCAATATTTTTCTCACTGTTTAAAGTGCTGTCAAAAGTGAAAATATTCTTTTAACTAGAAGTTACTATCGCAAGGAAAGTGCTGCCTCACCCCAAGGGAACAAAGGCAGCATGCACAATTTGCTGAATAAGAGGCTGTTTATATGACCCCGCTTTGCCAGGACGAAATGGTTAGCACTATTTTCCATCCAGCAAACCGCCCTATCGATATTCTGAAGTTGTTTCTTTTTGGATTTTTCAGTAATTCGGTTAGGGTTAGAGTAGGGTTTGGGTTAGTTACATAGCCATTTAACACCTCTTTCATCTTCCGAAAATGACGTCAGGTCAGTTTGCTGGATGGAAAATAGTGCTAACCGGATGAGATATGAGGCGGGATGATTTTGATGTATTTAAATAAGTTATGGTGCACACTTCAGCAAAAAACTTCATTATTTCCATGAAATAGTGATAGGTACCTGTAAAATGAAAAGGTTGTTCAAGCAGCAATAATAACCTTTTTCAACTACAAGATCTGCTCTACCACATTTGAGTTCTGTTAACCTGTATTTGAACTTTCGTTTAGCCTATTGACTTATTTCAATACAACAAAATCACCCGACCTTCCATCATGTAAACAGTCCCTAAGATGCCTGTTCAGAAGGTTGGAAAATGCAATTTGAATACCAAACACCTTCACAAAGTCAAAGGACAGCTAAATATTCTAATTCTACTTTCTTGACATGGGCAATTTTATATGAATACCTTCAATGCTTATTACTTCTTGCTTTTGTTAGTATAATTATAATACTATCCGTGGCGAAGCTAGCCGTAGCAACAGGTCATGCTAAGTTTTTAATGATTTGCATTGCAGGCAACATTTGCCATGGCAACTGGTCATGATGACCAGTTGCGATTCAGCAGCTTGCCACTGAATACTGTGCAATACTTCTCTCCTCCACCATAGCCAACAGAGGCATCTGTGGAGAAGGGAGGTAAAATACCATATGTATAAATAATAATACTGTACTTCTTGAATGAATCATTGGACATGTAGAATTTAATAAAAATTTCATATATAGAAATACTAAGTCCGTTTTTGTCCCAATTATCGTTTTAATGGCACCTTCAAGGCTATCCCTATTGCAGAACAACTGAACAGCCTGCTGATGGGGAGACAAAATCTATTTGTTGACATTTTTGTTTAATACGTCAGCTTCAGATGACACCATTCATTTGTAATGACTAAGATTGTACTCAGTCAGAACTGCAAAACTATAAAATAAGAAAGAAATTGTGAGCATTATCGAAAAATATATTATACTCTGAAATGTAGTGACACAGCCAGGTGAATATATGAATGAAGGCCTGTAGGATTATTTCATATTATGCTACAGACCATCATACCTTGTAACTGCTGGTAAGTTAATATGTGCAGACAACAATTATCCACATTGGGTTGCTATAGCAATATATTTATATTATAAAGCCTGATTTATATTAAGGGCCTGTTTATATGGAAGCTGGGCTGGCCCGCTTAGCGAGACAGCCCGGTAAGTGGGATGAATTTCTCTTGTGTTTATATGAGAAAATTTCATCCTGCTTGCCGGGACAATTTTGGTATCTTTGAACTTTCATCCCGGCAACCGGGCTAACCCCCTTGTGAGTGTTTTATATATGGAGAAATTTCCAACCCGGTAGGCAAGATCTCGCCTCTTTCAAGCGAGATCTCGGCAACCAGGCCAGCTCGCTTGTCCATATAAACGCACGATAATTTTTACTAGTCTATAAAGATAACTACACAGCGAGATCTCGCTTACCGGGCTGTCTCACTTACTGTAAGCCGCGTTCACACCAGCGGCCCAGGCCTGGGCCAATTGTGACGCATTCACACTGGCTTGACGCCCAACTCCAGGCCAAAGCAATCAGGCGTCAATATAAACGTCCTTGTGTTCCACTAAAGTATTTAATTTCGCGCTTTGAATGTTTTTCCCTCCAATTGTATGACAATCATCTGACCAGTTTTCATCGTGGGCAGATATTGCGATGGTAACGGGGCCTCGCCCAGGCCAGGCCCAGGAAAAACCTGTTCACACCAGTGATGATCGAGGCCCAGGCCAGGCCACCTACATTTGCTGGCCTGGATTTCTTGACTTAGGCCAGGCTCAGGCCAGGTAAAACCTGTTCACACCTAGACCCAGACCAGGTCCAGGCCTGGGCTGCTAGTGTGAACGCGGCTTTAGCGGGCCAGCCCGGCTTCCATATAAACAGGCCCTAAGACGTGCATATACTATACACAACATTCCGCGATAGAGTTTGTGATGAATATGCTGCATTAATATATTTATTTATTAGTAAATAAAGCTTTTAAACATTGTTATTTCATGAATTCGTTTAAAATCAATTTTAAAATGGTAAGTCTTTGTTATATTTTAAAAATCCTGTACATACTAAACAAAAACATTTATTATAAAATCCTGTACTGCTGTACATACGAAGTACCAAACAAAAACGTGTTGGCTTTCGGCCTTTCGTCTCAAATATAAACAGTTGAAATTCGCTGTGAATTGAGCTTATATAAAGTCTATAAAAGAAAAAAATCGAGCAACTTGACATACCTCTAAATAAAATCTCCCTTTCTCACAAAACCTGAATATGATAAGGCCAGTATTTACACAAAAATGTCTTTCCTTCGCTCCTGACCTCATGTTTTAATTGTTTATTTGCTACAAACCTCAAAGCTGCAGATCGAAATTTAAACGCCATTCGTGGTACGTCGTTCGCAGATCACTGTACAAAGTATTCGGCAGTCGTCGATTTGCTATCGTAAACTCCTGGGGTATGATAATGCTCCAATGTAAATTCCTTACTGCAACGTCATAATTTGACGTCACAACTGCTGACAAAAACGTGAACGACACAAAATCGAGATACGCTTCAGTATATAAAACTGTTGGCGGGAAATTCAAATGCGCTATAATACATCGTCAAGAATAGGAGGCTGTCTTCGGCAGCAATTGAACTATTTCACATCTACCGTTTGTCGTGCCAGCGACAACTAACGACCAAATGGAAACTAGGCTTAAGTACTACAGGGTGTATAAAAAAACCTACGAACTCTTTGAAATACAATGTTTTTAGAATTTGCATGATTCAGAACTAACTGATCCCAAGCGTGCGTAAACACAATAGTTGACCCATTTGCAGTCAAACTGATAATTAGTTTTCTACATTACAAATAACTTTGTGTTATTCCAATTTCTATCAACGCGGTTAATTAGAATGTATTTTCAAATCCCAGGAGCAAAAGGCAAGTAGCACAGACATTGAAATGCTAGTAAGCTGCAGAATTATGCTAATTATAGTGTTTGCAGGTTTTTTGATACACCCTGTAGTTAAAATATGAGCAGCTGATCTTTATGGGAATTTACAATGGCGAACGCGAGCCATTGTTAAAATGTCCATAAAGATCAGTTGCGAATATTTCAACGTACTTGTAAAATGAATTTATTTGTTCACTTTATTAGTATTCACTGCCCGTGGGGACAATCTCACGCGTTATTAGCATGCATTTAAAATCTGATTAGTCAGGGGTTTTTTCCGGGATTTTTTAGGGTCGTTAAACGGCCAAAAAAACTCAATCTTGAATTGATTTTTGAAACTCAATCTTCTCACCAAAGTTTCAGTGCAGTAAAAATGAAGTTGTTTGAGTTAAATTCGTGACATGTGGAAATTAGTTTTCAGTTGGGAACCCGACAATTAAGAAAAAATGGCTGGAATTCATCTCACAACACAAGAAAAACTATGCATTCGCCATCTTTAACCAGTTTATAGTGTCCCTTAGTGCCCCTGCTTTAACACATTCCGTCTCAACTACATTTATTGAGTACAGGTGTCAGCCCCCGTTAGGTGGGGGGGGGGGTGCAGCCACCCCAGCTGTTCAGCTAAACTCAATCTTCTCTGCAAAAACGGACCCAAGAGAAAATCCTGGAAAAAAACCCTGATTAGTATTAATAACTTTCATAAACATCCCTGCTTCTGATCTTTAATGCGGTTTACAACTTAGCTGTGTGTAACGTTATTCTAAAACTAAGAAGCTTCAAGCATTTATAACAGTAATCAAAATACTTAGAGACCGCGTCGTCGAGTTTGCCACGTCGTAGATTCGTAGTAGTACTAGTACTGTATACCTGTCACGTTTTAGGAAGAGTTACTATTTTTAGACTTTTGTAATTTTGTATTCTTTCGTATTTTAAACTTAACCCTAATCCTAACCCTAAACCTAACCCTTACTCTAATCCTTACCCTAATCTTAATCTTAACCCTAATCCTAACCCTTTCCCTACTCCAAACCCTAATCCTAACCCTAAAAGTCTAAAAATAGTAACTGTTCGTAAATCGTGACTTATAGGTATACTTTTTCTTGCAACATTCTGTACTACTTCATCTGCCCTAGCTAGGGCAGTTTGCCTTCACGAAGACCATAATAGTGAGATAATGGTATAAAATCACTTACAGCATTTCCAGATGAAGGATCAATAAAGTCTGCCCAATATCCTTGACTTTTCAGTAAGTCACAAATCTCTGTAGCAGATTCTATAAACTATGCACACAACATCTACGTTACTAAATAGCGAAAATAATTTTTGATTGTTATATAGTAACATTGTTATATTTGATTCATTAACAGGTGATTTTCCTATTGCTCATATTACATGTTATGGTCAAACCAGGTAGTTAGAATGAAAATGGAGGATTTCAAAGAACGAAGCAACACAATAGAATACAAAAGTGTAAGTAAATCGTGTTTCTATAACATATGACCCAAAAATGCAGTAACTATTCATTAACACAATGTTTGTCTAAGATATTCTTGTAAGAATATCATAGATCGGCGTTCAATGGGACACCATAGGTGAATTGGGACAAGCTGGAAATGGATTTGGGACCATCGTCCATTTGGCATTTATCCAAATTCACCCCGGGTGTCCCAATTAACCCTGGACTACGGTATCGTATTCTAATAGGCCATCATTTGTCTAAGATATTGCGACATATATAACAGTTTAATGTTATTTGTTTAGTCTTAAACTGACAATATCTGTCGGCACATTTTCCACAAATGTGTAGAGCCTGAGGAAAGCTTGAGAAATGAAGTTGTTTTAAATTGGCCAATCAAGTGAAACAATAAAACATGGTATTACTATTGCATCTGGTAACGGGGAAACTAATATAACTTGAACTTCACTTTTAGGCAGAGGAGAGAGCGGACGTAATGGAAACCTGCCTTTAACCTTTTGGTGTCTCTTCTTGTGTCTCTCTGTAGTCTGAATGGATGCGAGCCTCGCTGAGCGATCCTGAGCAGACTCGTACCACGATTTGCGAGTCTGACTCGTACCAAGATTAACAATACTTGTACTTACATTTTTTAATAGTTCTTCTCTTTCTACATCAACATCTTGTGACCATACCGTCATATCATTTTTGGTATGTTGACAAATACTGACCACTGTCATTTCACCTGCATCAAATTTCTTCTCTGGAAACAGATCTGAGAAACTCCTCTGAAGCGATGCACTACATTTCTGCATGGAACATTCAACTTCACCCTACAAGAATACGACATGAAATAATAACATGGTATATTAATTCAATGCATGTTGTGACAGTGATAGACCTGTTTCAGATGTCGAACTTTTCATGCGCGAAATCGTAGGTAAATGACCTTGCGGCTAAACTCATTGATTGAGCTCACCTGCATTAGGTCACAGTGTAGTGGCATGCAAGCAAGCAAGCAAGCAAGCAAGCAAGCAAGTGCCCTAAAGAGAGGCCGTCACACCCTGAAAACATATTGAAATTTAATGTTCCAGGGGGTGAATATCTCTCATTAGGCCACTTGCTAAGAACATGGCCTGCCAGCTATTTTGGTGAAAACTACCTTACGGTTTTCCCGCAGACGTGGGACCTCTGTATGTGGTACTCTGTGATGAGGTTTGGTAAATAAAAAAGTTCGCCGTCTGAAACAGGCCATTTTGCAATTGAAGATGTACTGTACAGTATTACCTACCCGTGTCTCGTTTTGTCTTACTTAAAAAATCATTGATATTGTTTGACGTATTTCTTCAAAATACTATTCTATCTCAATAAACATGTCAACCCTTAATGTGCCATCGAGATTGCTGCAGTACGTATCTTCCTCTGGCTTATGGAGAAAGTCCTCGGCAATTGTTATTTCTATCCGGGTTTCCAAGCAAACCAGGAAACGTTGTTTGCATCAGTATAGCAAACGTTAACGAGCTAGACAAGGTATATTTTAGAGCTTCTTCAGAAATAATTCTTCGTTCTGTATGAAGCAAATTCTGTTACCATCAATCCACAATGTGAAAAAACGTGGAAGTATATATAATTCATAGAAACATTGAAATTTCCAAATGTTTTGCCCAAAGCTTTACACTTACACCAGTAGCATTTTCAAACATTTCTTTTGAGTTGCTTTTATTTCTTTCTTTTGCTTTCTTTTTATTATCCACATGAGTGTTATGTAGAAACTGTGCAAGAACGTGATCCTTGTTCATTTCATTTGTTTCAACATCTAGAAATGCCGAGGCTAAACTTTGTTGATTTTCAGGCGTCTGAAATGTCTCACTGCACATGTTTACATCTATGTTCATGTTTCCTGGCAAAGGAAATTTCGGGTCTTTTGCAGCGAATGGTCCAAGATCTGAAATGCAAAGATAATTATAGTATTATGTGGGCAATTATTGGTTAGTAATGTACCTGAAAACTTTCAATTCTGATAAAAGCCCAGATCAACCTTGGTTATCTGTTCTTAGTTGATACTTTCCCAACACTATCGTCCATACTACGATTATGATTAGCATTTCTATAGCATACTACGATTACGATTACTACGATTTCCCAACACTATCATCCATACTACGATTATGATTAGCATTTCTATAGCATACTACGATTGCGATTAGCATTTCTATAGCATACTACGATTTCCCAACAATATCATCCATACTACGATTATGATTAGCATTTCTATAGCATACTACGATTACGATTAGCATTTCTATAGCATACTACGATTGCGATTACTACGATTTCCCAACACTAGCATCCATACTATAGTATAGTAAAACTTTATTTAACCACGCTTCCCTCATCACCCATGGATGATTTTCATGAGGGGCGTCACACAAATTACATTCTAAAAACTAATATAAATTAAATATGAAATAGAATAACATAGAATAACAAATACGTAGATAAAAAAGTTAAAAAAACCAAGACTATTCGATGCCTGACTCTGTAGCACACATTATTTTATCAAATTTTTGAAGCTACTTAAAGATTCTGTTTGCTTTGTCTGCGTAGGTAAACTACTCCATAGAACAGCCCCGCTATATCCAAAACTCTTTTTTAAATATTCAGTACGTGGTTTAGGAACTGAAAGATTTATATCATCATTTCTGAGATTATAATTAGTACTAAGATTTATGTCCCTTGTTACAAATATATCCTTTAAGTTCGGAGCTGAGTGGTTGTTTAATATTTTAAACATCAAGACCGATTTATTCATTTTATGTCTGTCGTTCAGATTTTTCCATGACATAGCATGGAGCAAATCTGTCGACCTGACATCATAATTGGCACCTGTCATAATTCCTGCCGCCCTATTTTGTAGTTTTTGTAATTTCTCGCTGAGCATGCTTCCACAATTATCCCATAAAGATGAACAATAGTCAAAATATGGGAGAACGAGAGAATTATATAAATTTTGTAGTGTTTCGGACGGTACAAACGGCTTTACTCTTTTGATGATTCCAATACCGGAGCCAACGTTCCTACATATTGTGTCTATATGGTTTTCCCAGCTCATTCTTTCATCTAGTTCTACTCCCAGACATGGAAAAGAGGAATATCGAGTAACCGGTTTATCATTTATCATAACCTGTTCATTACCAACTTTGTTTTTTAAGTTATAGGGTGATCCTATAAACATTGCTTTTGTCTTTTTTGTGTGAAGTTGCAATTTATTTCGAGAGAGCCATTTGACTATATTTTCTAAATCCTGATTAAGTTTGGTTACTAGTTCGGAGAAACTTGCAGAAGATGCATATATTTGAGTATCGTCAGCATACATGCCAGGAGGTGTGTTTTTCAGACATTCTGGCAAATCATTTATATATAGTAAAACTGAACATGAGGGGTCCCAAGATAGATCCCTGTGGAACTCCGCATACAATTTCCTTAGCCAACGATTTGTGGCCATCGACAACACAAACTTGGCTTCGTTTCGTCAAATAGGATTGGAACCATTTTAGCTCAAAATCTTGAACACCAAACTGGTCTTGCATCTTCCTTAATAGGGTTTTATGATCAATGGAGTCAAAGGCTTTCCTAATATCAACTGAAATTAATCTGGTTATTTCTCCATTATCCATATTTTCAAACCAATTGTCACTCATTTCTATTAATAAGGACATTGTCGAATGTTTGGGCCGGAAGCCCGATTGAAAACGTAAAAGTAGGGAATTGTCTATCAGATATTGATAGAGCTGTCCAAATACTTCTTTCTCGAATAATTTGCTGATAATGGGAAGAATAGATATCGGGCAATAGTTTTCACATTTCGTTCTATCTTCTGTTTTATAAACAGGTATTACCCTAGCTCTTTTCCAATCATCAACATATATCCCAGTAGAAATTGAGAGATTAAATATATAGGTCAAGGATGGGGCAATAATATCGCAAGATAATTTCAGCATTTTGGCTGGTATTCCATCAGCCCCGGTAGCCTTGGATACTTTTAGATTTTTCAGGTTTTTTAGAATATTGGATTCAGTAATTGTATGGAAATAGAATTTTGAATTTTCACCAATTGAATTACAATGCATGTCTTCATAATCCGAAAGACGTCCACATTCAGCAGCGAGTGTTGGGCCAATATTAACAAAATAGTCGTTTAAGTGTTCAGCTATTTGTTTGCGATCATTATATATTATGCCATTAATATTAATTTCTGCAATGTTAGATGATTTCCCACCTTTGCCCAATAGGGTGTTTATCAGTGACCATGTTTTTTTCATGTCTTTAGCTAGGGAAAATTCCTTAATTCTTGTTTGATAATAGACAGTTTTGGCCCTTTCATTTCCGAGTTAACTTTATTTATCTCCGATTTATATTTATCACAGTGAACCTGGGAGTTATATCTCTTTGCTCTCTTTTTATGATAGTCTCTGGATCTTATTAGTTTTTTAATGTTGGAATTTATCCAGAGAACAGAATTGTGCTTAATGCTTTTATAAATTAGGGGTGCATGTCTGTCAAGAGCTTCCAAATAAAAAGATTTCCAGACATGCCAATTGTCGTTCGGGTTCATATACCGTGTAGCTAAATACCAAGGTATTCTGGACAGTTCCTCAATAAAATCAGTTTCATTAAATCTTTTGAAATTTCTAACTTTTGAACGGGTTTGCCTATATTTAGGCATTGTCACTTTTTTCACTGCAAAAATTAAACTGTGATCTGACATTCCCAAGTCAATAACACCACTATTGGAAATGTTATTGGGTTGATTGGTGAACACTATAGATCAATTAAAGATGATGATGTGCTTGTGACTCTAGTTGGCTCCTTGATCAATTGCTCTAAGTTATATAATGTGCTCAGAAATATTAATCTTTTGGTACTGGAGTCTTTTTGGTGTCTTAATCATATTACAATTTATGTCACCAATAACAATCAACTCCGTACTTTCAGCATCACATTTACTAAGAAATATTTCAAAGAAATCAAATAATTTCATCTCAGAGTTGGGCGGTCTGTACCATGCACTAATGAGAAATGGCCTACTTCGTGGTTTACAAATCTCAATACAAATCATTTCAAGATCATCTGAATTTAAGAGCATATGTCTGTAACGGTCGAGAAACTCGGGACAGTTGCGAAAAATCAGACTTGAACTTATTTCACTAAAATAACCCTTCTGGATAGGTATTTCAGAAAACATGATCGAAAAGTCGCAGCTTAAGTTTAATAAATCGGTTAAAATGTTGTTTTTTTCCCAATTAATATGCACGAATTGAGAGCCAACTTAAACAATAGAAAGACGACATGGAAAACAATCAATCCAAACCATCTTTAGCATGAAGCTAACTTAATATTGTATCTTCAATTTGTACTAATACATTTTTATCAACTGTTTCTTCGACACATATCTTTAGCCCCATAAAAACCCTCATTATTTTGTGGTCAATCGACAGTCAAATTTTTAACGAAATTTGGACTCAAATAACTCTGCTGGTACCTTACAAATCGAAAACAGAGCCACGTCACATTAAAAGATATCTCTTCTCGTGTCCCTGAACCGAAATTCAGCTTCTACAAATAAAACGCCAATCGAGGAGCGAAGTTTAATGGGAGGTGGTCAAGCATGAAATGTTATACTAATTAATTTCAAGCGCTGACATCAATATGCAAATTGCACGAGCATGAAAACCTTGTCACGATAATATTTCGTCACAAAACGTGTGGTGAAACAAAATAAAATGTTTTTCTAGGTTTAAAAAGTTACCATATAAATCGCTACTCACTATAAATCATGAAAAATGACAATAAACAAGCTAGAAGGAAAGGACACAACCGGTCCAGAACAATTTACATTCAAAGAAACGTATTAACGACGTGTGTATACGTTCTACTGAGATTATAAGTTGCCAACATTTCCCGCTCCAAAACGAAACTATTAACTGTTGTCTTGATATGCGAGACTTTATATGTTTTACTAAGTGTTGAGTAACAAGTAAAAATCTGTAAAAAGATAAGGAAAGCCAATGGCAATGAATTAGTCTTTACTATAGTTGCGTTGCTATATACTGCTCAGAATTTTCCCACGCTAGTAAACAGTGTCAGTACGGTACCGTAATTTGCTTAGTTGACAAATGTCATTTACAATATTGTCTCGATCTGGCCCACTCTTCAAATATATATACCTTTCACCAGATTAACTGACGTGTTCTTAAATCTAAAACGGATTAGACGCAATGTATTTCTAAATGCAATACAACTCAAACAATAACAAACATTACAATCACAATAACAATCAAAGTTAATAATTAAACTTAGCTATAGTCTTAAACAAATTTCGAAACTCTGTGCCTTTCAGTAAGAGTTGATATTCCTTGTTATTTTCTTTTACTGCATGGACGATGGCGTTTATTTGCGGCTTTTCAGAGCTAGTTGGCGATAGCTCGTGTGGAGTCAGTTCAGAATACCCTGAACAGTTAAAATGTATTCTATTGACTGAATGTCAAAAAGATATTTCCAGGCATCTACAGATATATGGTATTTCTGAAGACCAGTCTCTTTGTAGTGAAATGGCGTTGATTCTTGCTCGTGCAGGTAGCATAACTCATATTTCTAACAATATCTTTGCCATCATATATATATATTTAGTGAAGAACTTTTTAATTTCATCAGGTATATTTGTAGTTGATGAATCGCACAATTGTATTACTATATGCCCTAAACACCGAAGCGAATACGGGATTCGATGGCGATGCCGTAGAGTGCGATGCTCGGTACCTGAATCCCTGGCTGCATACAAAAATTCAAATGTGAAAGCCATTAAAAGAATACTGTGCCTGCAATCATCACTGATTTTGAAAAAGACAGGATTGATCGTAGCCGTTGGCTCACGTAAGTATCATTTTTGTACATTTCCTAGAATTAATACTTCGATTCAACGCAAGTTGGTTGCATGCTCTCCTCTGTAAAATTAAACTGCATGTACAGTATGCATTTCCCGATCGAATAAGAAACCTGTTTACTCTGAATAATTGCGGAAAATATAATTTAAAGTACACAAAATTAATAATTTGTTTCCTGTCTGCAAGAACTAAATAACAAAGCGCAGTCAAAGTCAAAGAACAAAGGAAACAATTGTGATAGGGCTTGTGCGTATATTTGAATGAATTATAATATTAATTTTGAAACAAATGATAGCGATATTACATTTATTAAACGACGTTTCGATGCTACAGCGTGCATCATTTTCAAGTTATAGTAATTACATATATTGCGTTGATTTTAATTAAACCGTTCAATTATAATATTGATCTATTTAAGTAATTATAGTTTTTTCGTTGTATAGCAATATGCATAACATGTGCTGCTTATCTGAAAAGCATTCGAGACAACGAAGCTGAAAATGTCGATGAATCTGAGCCAGGTCTTATTGAGGTAAATAATTTATGATTGACTGGCCGATCCCTGTCTTTCCCAACAGCCACTTCGCGCGTCGCCTTCCTGCCTGAATACTTCATGTATTATATTTCAACCTTCTGGCCGTGGGTATGAGGCAGGGCACTATAAGGCCCTTTGGGATCCCGAGACTGCACGCAGGATACAAAGTTAATAGTTTTTATTCGTTTAGCGAAGTAAACCTATGGGTGACGAAGAAAGTGACATCGACTCATGCGATGGAGTGATTCAATCTCTCAGCCAATTAAAAATTGAAGAAAACTCACCTAGTTCAGAGACGATGAGCGACGCATCCGGTGATAAACCTACTTCAGATGCAAAAGTCTCTGATGACACATTCCTCAGCCCAGACACTGCAAGTATTGGATCTACTAGTAGTGAAGAAGCGCTAATATGTCATCACAGCAAAACATTCGAAAAGTTGAACGACTTTTTATTAGTTTCTAATATTCCTCCCATTCAAAGACGATGGATGAGCTGAGATGAAATAAGTGAGAAAACAAGGCAACGATATACAAGGAGAGGTGCTGAAATTCTAGCTGCTGTTCTTCAAACCATATCTCCTGAAAATGCTGGATCGATTTGGCAGGCTGTATCGTCATCTTCTACAATCAATAGGCTTTTTGGTATAAGTGAAGTTACAATGGCTGACCAACGTTATTTAAATGTTTTAGCTGGATCATATAAGAATGCGTCGAACTGGGAAAGCCGCAAGCAAATCCTATCTATAATGACTGATTTAGCAAGCTATTCTGTAATCTCATCCTTCATTCCAGGTATTACTAAATACAGATACACGGCAGCAAATTTACATCGTTTGCAGTTCGGTCGCGGTGTTCCAGTTCCTGCCCAAACATCCGTTCGTGTCAGAGTAGATTTAAAACAGCTCGACCACTTCCTGTCATTTATAACTAGCCCACATTTGGTTCAAGATCTTCCTTTTGGTCAAAAGCACCTCACGCTTTCATCTGGCAAAATCTTAGAAGTACCTAATGTGATACGTACAATGATACCACGACGGACTGTAGAACAGTACAGTAGATACTGCGAAGAAACTAATTTTCAACCATTTAGCGAAAGTACAATGGTTCGCGTATTATCAGAGTGCAGTGCGTCTGTCAGAAAATCACTTCAAGGTCTTGATTATTTCGCTGCAGATGGATCACGGGCCTTTGACGAGCTATTGGCACTAATTCCCAAGCTTGTTGAATATGGTGCTACGGATAGGGAATGGGAAGTGAAAACAGCAGAAAATCTAAAGACAGCCAGACTTTACTTGAAAGGAGATTTTAAGGTACACTAGACAAAAAATATTACTTACATTCGTCATAAGGGACTGCTCAAAAAGTACAGGAGATTGGGTCTTAAGCATTCCCCTAATTTGAAACTGAAAACGTCCCATAATATAGCATTCACGTTCCCCCACCGAAAATTTTGTTTCCCGGCCCTCTTTAAAGTCTTACTACTGTATACCAGTGGATTAAACAGGAAAAAAATAGGGAGTCGCTCATCCTATTTGTGGCCAAAAAGAGGTGGGCCAGGAAACGAAATGCACCATGCCAAAGAGGGTTTTCCAGCCACCTATTGCACTTTATATAGACCAATATTTGTTTTAAATCATTTTCCCGCCAGGTGCATCTTGACAATGCTGATGAAGTAGCAGATCACTGCTTAGTCTTTTCCCTTAGTGACAGTGGAGATACTGACTTCCAGAAAAAATGTAATCACAAACACGATGCCGTTTGTGAGCAGTGCCTGGCTCTTGAAGAAACTTTGAAAGACGTCGAAGGATGCTTCAAAGCGGCAGAGTTTCCATCCGTTGATGAGAGAGATGACGTGCACTACACTGTACGATCAGCCGTGCTTGCCATCAATTCATGGAAATGCCACATACTCAGGTCTTCCAAACAGGATCAAGCACGACTCGATGTTCTTAAGCTTCTCGATGAGAAGACGGTATTCATTGTCAATGATTGGGCAATGAAGTTTTTGCCCCAGAGATATCGAGAATCCCAGCAAGACTGGTTTGGAAAGCGTGGCATTTCGTGGCATATATCTGTTGTATACAGACGTAATTGTGGCAAACTACAGTGGCAGTGTTTCGTACACATCATCCAATCATGTAGCCAAGACAGTCCAGCAGTGGTTACCGTAATGGAGGATGTACTTAGAGCCCTGAAGCAAGAATATCCCGAAATCACAACAGCCTACTTTCGACAGGACAACGCAGGTTGTTATCACTCGGCGACAACAATCCTGTCCTGCCCCAACATAGCGAAAGCATCTGGAGTAAAGATAGCCCGCCTTGATTTCAGCGACCCCCAAGGTGGCAAAGGAGCAGCAGATCGTTTAGCAGCAACATGTAAAAACCATATTCGTGCTTATATAAATGAAGGCAATGATGTACTTACGGCAGAACAACTCAAGGAGGCCATTCTCTCACATGGAGGTATAAATGGCGTGCGCGTAGTTTCAATGGAGTCCATTGGAAACACACGTGAGTGTACAGAGAAAATTCCAGGCATCAGTAAGATGAACAACTACAAATTCATGTCAACCGATAAAATCAAAGTCTGGCGTGCCTATAAAGTGGGTAAAGGAAAGATCATCAAAACTGCAAACCGTCGGTCGGTCAGTTAACTAATTCATCAATTAATTAATTAATTATTCCATTAATTAATTATTCCATTCATTCATTCGTGCGTTCAATCATCGATTCATTCATTCATTTTGTTTTAGATTCTACTTACAACTGGTTGGAGTCAAACTTTTCATCTGGTGGATTCAAAACCATTTCTCAAGAACAAGGCAAGACCCAGCATGAAAAAGATCATACTGCAGAGAAACGCACTGACGGGAGTAGCCAGAATAATATTCAAGCGGTCCACCATTGTCCTCATGATGGATGTGTACGTATGTTTCAGAGACTTGGTAATCTGGAAAACCACCTATCGACTGATAAATGTACGCAGACTCTGGAGAAACACACACTTTTAGATCTGGCAAAAATGGGCTACAAAAGTTCGTTGGAGGATGGTGCTGGTGTAACACCAACTTTACAAGCAAGTAAAGCAGGCCATGAAGGTAGGAATGCTAGCCCCCTTGCTGAGGGCTGGGCTCTTCGAGCATCGAAGAAGACATACCGTTTCAGCGAGAAGCAAAAGGATTACCTTCTGGCCAAATTCGAAATAGGTGAATCAACTGGTAGAAAGGTCGATGCTAATACTGTAGCCCAAGATATGAGACGTGTTCGCGATTCTGATTACGAAAGACTTTTTCAAGCGTCAGAGTTTTTAAGTTGCCAACAGATTACCTCTTATTTTTCCCGACTCGCAGCGAAGCGTCGAAAAGCGGCATCGACTGAATCCGACTTAATGGCTATTGAAGAAGAAATTGGCTTCACGAGGGCAAGAAACAGTGCAATGGAATCTATCGGCCTTGAGCACCCCATTGTCTATGGCCAATACAATGTTTGTGCCACGATAGAAAAGAACACTTTAAAAAACCTGAAACTTGGAATGTTACAAGTCATGAGCGAGAAACTTTGTCTTCAAGTTCCAAAAAAAGCAGCAAGAGCAAAAGCGCCATATTTGAAACTACTGAACGACGCATTCAAAAGCTGCAGCTGTCAGCAGTAAGGAAAGTTGCTAGATTTAGCTTACAAAAACTCATTTGGTGTTAGTACCTAATTCGTACTAAACGATACTAAAGTCCCGATCAAACGAGGATGAGAGTGCATGAGAGTTGCCAGTCATGCGTCTCTTCCCAATGCCTTCATGAACTCTATTGAAGTTGAAACATTGCCGATCGGAACAGTCATCAAATTTTAATTTTATTAATATAGAGTTTAAAATGTCCTCCGCAACAATGCGTAACTGAACAACTCTCAGTAACTGTCATACTCGCTTTATCTAGGCTTAAATAGCGCATATTGGTGCTTACATGAGTTTACGGGGCTGTGTTTTATATCTCTCCACTCGTAAGAGCGTTTTCGATGTATAGACCTCAAACGTAAAGCCAAATTGCATTGAAATACATGCATTTCTTAGCAAAAGTTCATTAATGTAGATACAGCAAGGCTTTTTTTGTGCACCAATAAGTTATTTTAATAAGTTATTTTGAGCTTAAAAGCTTCCAACCCTGAATGATCCAACATCCAGGACACTACGGCAATTGATCAAATGCATTGGAGAAATTGCAGAAAATTTAAAACTGCAGTGTGGATAGTAGAATTTCTTGTCCTCCCATTTTCTGTCCCATATTCGATTGACGATTTGAAATTATTCCATTATTCAATTTAAAGAGTTAAAGAGTTTTTGTAAAATGTCTGTTCACACGTTCACAAATCAGTTTTGTGACGAAATACATAAAACTACAAATTTCTTCATGCTGTTATAATTTGCATGTTAGCAACATTTCGTGCTTCACCACGTCCGAATAAACTTCGCTCCTCGATTGGCGTTTTACTTGTAGAAGTTGAATTTCGGTTTAGGGATACGAGAAGAGATGTTCTTTAATGTGATGTAGCTCCCCTTTCGATTTGTTAGGTACCAGCAAAGTTATTTCAGTCCAAATTTCGTTAAAAATTTGACAGTCGATTGACCATAAAATAATGAGGGTTTTTATGGGGCTAAAAATATGTGTCAAGGAAACAGTTGATACGAATGCATTAGTACAAATTAAAGATACAATATTAAGTTAGTTTCATGCAAAAGATGGTTTGGATTGGTTGTTTTCCATGACGTGTTTCGACTAGTTCATTCGGGTCTCAATTCGTGTATATTAATTGGGAATATATAACATTTTAACCAATTTATTAAACTATCGAAAATTTCATAAAAATAAAATCGCGCTGCGACTTTTTGATCATGTTTTCTGAAATACCTATCCAGAAGGGTTCTTTTGGTGAAATAAAGTCAAGTCTGATTTTTCGCAACTGTCCCGAGTTTCTTGACTGTTACAGACATATGCTCTTAATATTCATCGCCAGGCTTTCTATTTTCTTGATACAAACACTTGGATTATCTACTGGCAGGTTATTCGTGCCAGCATGCAAAATAATATGTGAAGGAGAAACGGACTTGTCCGACTTGATATTTTTGACTTCCGAGATTATCTCTTCGGCTATCTTTCCAGGAATGAATGTTTATTAACTTTCCTTCTAGATAATTTCCTGGGATGTATATTTTTTATTATTGAGTCTCCGTACAACAAGATAGATCCATCGCCTTTGACGTCACTCTTTGTCTTACTATAGACTCTGGTGTAATCAACGATTCATTGCCTAATGATTTAGACAATTCTCCGGCTTCGCTGGGGTCATTAATCGGACCGGTTAACATCCCAGATCCATCGCCATTGTCGTCGCTGACTGACTTGCTGGATTCTAGTGTAAACAACGATTCATTGCCTAATACTTGAGTCGATTCACCGGCTTCACTGGGGTCATTAAACGCTTCGTTAACTTCGCTTTCGGGAGCCTGTGGAATTTCTATGAGGGGAACTTGTGAACAGTCCGGTTTATTATATTGCTGATTATTGTCTATCTCCTTGCGAAACTGTGAGATAGTTTCGGTAAGATGATCTACAGAGTGTGATAGAGATTGGACTGCAACTCTGTTGAGCTCTTGGCCAGATCGAAGATCATCTTTATGGGAATAGACATCATTGACTTTACAATTAGTTGACTACAAAATGACCAGTAGGCATATAAAACTTTTTAGTAACAAAAGGCATATGCATATCGTGTTACATGCATGTGAACATACTTCCTATTAATTATTTAATATAACTCGGCCAAAAATTCGTTTTTGCAATTTGTAAGTTGAAAATATAGTTTAGGGATCGGAGAAATATTGTAATTAATGTAAAGCTATTTTTATCAATATTCATCGCATTTCGGAAGCTGATTTTGGGCGGTTGAAGTTTTCGTTAATTAACAATTATTCGCCGAAAGCGAGGTGATTATCGGTGAATAAAAACCGAGACAAAGTCGAGGTTTTTATTCACGATAATCACCGAGCCTGAGGTGAATAATTATTTTAGTATAATTTCATAGGTGATTATTTGAAAAAATTAAACATTTCTTCGTCATTTAATTGACAAAACGGCTTCGGCCGCCATTTTGAAAATCGCTTAGGTGATTATCGCGTTATAATCACCTCAACGGCAACCAATCAGGGTGGAGAATTTTTAATAATCACCTATGTAATTATGCTAATAAAGAATAGTGAGCTTAAGCAAGTGACGTTTTTGACAACACGAGCGGCATGAGTAACGTCAGAAGACTGGGTCAAGGGCTGTGATTGGTGAAAAACGTCAACTTTACTTCCGGTCGACGTCCGTGTTGTCAAAAACGTCACTTGCTTAAGCTCACTTATATCAGCTGTGGATGACCTTGCAAACCTAAATACCAAAAAAAAGTGCAAACCAGTGAACTCTAATAAGACTGGAACGATAACTCAGGTAAACATGCCCATACTTGCCTATATATATATATATATATATATATATATATATATATATATATATATATATATATATATATATATATATATATATAATGATACGATGTTATTCTTTATATCGCGATTAAATTTTAGTAAACTTGTCAAAAACTTGAAAGAAGAATACCAAACGAAACTACTTCACTATCAAAGTTTCTGTCATCAAAATCGAAACCTTTAAAGTTCAGAAGATATGTCTATTTTCGGCAAAATGTCCGTTCGGCAAAACGTCCGTCGGCAAAATGTCCGTTCGGCAAAACATCCGTCTGCAAAATGTCCGTTCGGCAAAATGTCTTTCGGCAAAATGTTCGGCCATCGCTGCAGCTGTCAGCTGGCTTTTGATCTTTGAATACAGACATGCAGTGACATCATCCCGACTTTTTGCCTATGCTGTTTTGATTAAAAAGCAAGTTTATATGTAAAATTACTAGAGCAAAGAGAGCAATTTATTTTATTAAAGAGGCTGTCATTTCCAGCATGGTCTTGATTTTGATATATTAGACAAGAAAGACCAACACACAGATATTGGGTTCCTTTCAGTTAATTCGGGAAATTTCGTCCCGTCAAATTAAAGTGCTTGTAAAGTATACGGGTTGTAAAAAGGATAACAAAAATAGTAAGTCTGTTGACTAAATCAAGAACTAAATTTGCTGTCAAAGTTGCACGAGTTTCATCGAACAATGCAATTTTCGAAACTTAATGCACGTTTGCATGGTAAATTATGAGTGGGTGTTTTTAATTAAAATTGAGGGAAGGAATTATACGACACAAAAGTTTAAGCGTTATTTTATATATGAAAAATAAAAAATGGAAACGTAAAACATAACATCCAAAAAACATAAAAGTTGAATAGTACAGAGGGCCCCCTATACTTTTTGCGTGAAGCGTGAAGGGCTTATTTTACTTAGCCGTGAAACGTGATCGGGCCCCCTATAATTTTTGCGTGAAGCGTGAAGGGCTTATTTTACTTAGCCGTGAAACGTGATCGATGATTTTCTTAATCCGTGACTCGTGAAAAGGCAAAATATTTTTACGTGAAAGCATATTATGAAGAGGTATAGGGGGCCCTCAGTACATGAAAGTCCTCTAATTTCTTTTATACTGCAGACAACCTTATTTATTACACTTGGGAAGATTTAGTACTAAATATTATACTCTCGGTGAATAGGTAACTTATAATTAATTATGCAGTCTCCAAAATGGGATGTAAAAATCATAAAAGATAACCAAGGATAAAAATTTCACACTTTTTTAAATCTTAAGATATATATGGAGTGATAGCTACAAGAACTGATGTAAATCTAGTAAAATGGAAATTTCGATCCTCATCAATCTAACTAATACTGTAATTATATAACTTACAATGTTTATAGTGTTTTTACAAAGGAATCCAATTTCAAATGAAGTTTTTTACTACTATAAATTCATCAACATGAGTGCCACAATTAATTAAGTTTTTGGTAATTTGCCAAACTGAAATGTATGGAAATGACGATACTTTGACGTATTTTCGTATTTTCCATAATTATGACTTTAAAAAATGGAGTTCTTGGCCTATGAGAAATTTAAGACAGCTTTTTTTTCTCGTTTGGATATATATTTAGTTTTCACCTTAACTGAAAAGAAATTTTGCACCCGCAATAAAATGCACCCTACTACATATTAATACTGAATTGTGCTTTTTTTTATAAAGGACGCATTGTATATGTGGAGGCTAAAAAGCCTGGTTCTCACTACATGAATAATATTGCATGTCAGCGATTTTTCTTAGAGATGTTTATTTCTGTAGAGCGATTCTATACTTTTGTGTTCAATTTCATTTATTCGCTGATTCGCATCTCCATATCAGCGAAAATCGCCGACAAAATTGCTGTGTGAACGATTGGCGGAACAGAATTGCTGCACGTCGATGGAAAACAGTTCTCAATCATTACAACTATTTTGGATTCTCTGTTAATTGCCGTTTAAGAGATACATATACGTAAGATTTCGAATTCCCAATTCTGGATTTCCCCGACTGATCCTGATATAGGTAAGTGAAACTTGTACATATAACATGAACTCTTTTATGCAGGTGCCACTGTTCGCCGGTTGAGAACCTGTAAAGCTTGCACTCTTAGCTCTTTCTTCGTCCAAAAGAATATGACTGAATTAGCGCTTGAATTTAACATTATAAATGTTATTGACCACGTCTGGTATACCATGTCGTCCAAACCACTCAGTTTGAAAAATCCACCAAGTAACAACGGTAGGAAACATATAACGAAGCACATTAACACGAGAAAACATGATTTTGCTTGTTTTATTTCGCTTAGAAACTTTTGTCGTTTAGTCGAGTTTTCTTCTCTTGCATTGTTTTGAATCTTGTCTGAACGTGCTATCTTTAAAACAACAATATAAATTCTTGTGTAGACAAACGTATTTAGAATGAAAAACAGCAGTATCAGAATAATAGAAAAATTTGTAATTACTGATGGAACTGGCAGTGAGACACCAACAAGTAGCGTGATTAGAAAGATTACACAGCATTCATAAATCAAAATTCGTTTTTTAGTCACTTTCGTGCTGTAGGCATACGGATGTAAAACACCAATATATCTTTCTATTGTCATAGCAGACAGCGTTAGAATAGATATACCACTTGGAATAAAAAGGATTTGAAATACGAGAAAGTCTACGGTGCAATTCTGAAACCCGACCATTGGAGAAGCAACAGAGAAGATTAATATAGGAATACCAAGAGCACCGACTGTCAAATCCACCAGAGATTGGATGACAACAAGAAAGTAGCACGGTTTGCTACTCAAGCGAGTAGATTTCGTAATTGCCGCTACAGAGACAGCGTTCAATACTATTGTTGGAATTATTAAGAGACTGTTCATCGCAACCACCAAAACACTACTGATCACATACGAATCAGATGAAAACCTTACAATTATTCTGCTTGTTCTTCCAAAAACTGCAATGCACTCTTTTATAAAAACATCATCATGTGTAGAATTGTTCATGGTTTTGGCCAATTTGACAATTTCGCCTAGAAGATCCTTTCACTCAGATGCCTTTCAATTCATTACGCGCAATGTAACTTATATGATATTAATATATTTTTGTTCTTACATAATTACAACACAAGATTTGAAAAGGCTCCCCGACGGATTTCATAATTGTTTTATTATCATATAAGGTGGATTGGACTTGCGACAGGTGGAAATATGCACCTCTTCAGACGCAAACAACACGTTTCATCTGCCGACAATGAGATGTAAAGAATATTATACATAAAAATATTTTAAGACAAATTTCGACAGATAAGATTAATTTCCTTCAAAAAGGCCACCCGTCTTTTTTAAGAATTTTCTTCAGCTGCCTTATTAAAACAAGGTTCCGCGGGAATTTCCTCTTCGGACTCAAATACGCTTCATCTGCCGATATTGATATGGAAAAATTACACATGATGTATGAGTTTTAAGGCAGATAAAAACACCAGTACCGCTCAGTTTTTCAGTTAAATTTTATTCTGATCAGCTGCCTTATGAAAACGTGAGGAATATATCAGATTATATTTCCCAAAAGAAAATGAAAGAAATCTTGATTGAAAACTTGATAAGAAAATCAAAGTTCTTGTAAAACTAATGCAAGTTTCATGGCATTTTATAAAGCGGATTGTGACAGTATTAGAATAAAATACATGTATGTTCTAATGAGTTTGTTTAAAGGCGACATGCTGTATGACGCATCCGATTCATCACATTAATTTTTGTCTCCATAGGGGTTAAGGTATTTCAATTAATATTGCCTTTTATACGACACTGTACTTGCCGCAGAATCGTTTTGTTAATGCAAAGTATGTGGGATTTTGGTACCAAATAATAAATCACACAAAGTCTATTTTATACAAATTGTGCATCAAGTTTGGCTTTTTGCAATCCAAGTTTCATTTGTAATATACTATAAACTTATCAGTGCACCGTAAATAACACTGCAAAGGTAGATAGGCTTGTTGGTGTATGTAGCTTAAAGTGCTTTTGAAACGAAAATTTTGCCTCATTTTTTATTGTTTTATTAAAAGGTACTGCTGGAATGATGAAGAATGACGTTTACAGTTTATTCGTATCTCATCTCATTCCCAAGTTATCGCACTTTCTACATTTTGAGTTGTAACGTCACAAGTATGACTTGAGATAATGGCAATAACAAGAAAGTCTGATATCGTGGTGACCGTTTAATAAAATTCAATGAAACTTGGCACAGTTAGTGTGTGCAAAGAAGTCAATAATTTGGCTTGTTTATATGGTTGTTATGCAACACACTCGTCCCCAGTCCCTTCTCTTCCAATTTGTAAATGATCCATTTCCAAGGAAATAAATAGCAATTTCTGCAATTTTCGCTTGTTACTATAATACGTGTAGGTATTATGATCAGTTTAAACCGTTATAACATGCAAACATCCTCTGCAAGAGGTCAACAGGAGAAAATTTGTGAAAAGGAAGAGAAGAGACTGGGGACTAGTGTGTTGCCATGACAATCACATGACCTGCCGAAAATATTCATATGAGTGACCCACTAAGTGTACCAAGTTGCATTGAATTTTATTAAATACTCTCCAAAATATCAGACTTTCTTGTTATTGCCATTATCTCAAGTCAAACTAGTGACGTCACAACTCGAAATTTAGAAAGTGCGATAACTTGAGAATGAGATGAGATATGAAGAAACTGTAAACGTCATTCTTCATCGCTCTAGCAGTACTTTTTAGCAAAACAATAAAAAATGAGGTGAAAATTTCGTTTCATAAGCACTTTAATTAAAGCATTATATACTGAAAAATTAAAGAGGCCGAAATCTGAATTGAAAATAATCTCGGCTTTTTCGCGTTATATGCCTTGATCCCTTGTTCCAATCCCTAGAAACCCCTGGCAGACCTGTGATAACCAAAACTCTTTCAAGCTGAAGTGTCTACGTGTAGGTAGGCACTTCGAAAACTGCACAATAGAAAAGTTCGGATTTGACTTCCACTACCGGCCGCTTCCATCAAGCGCTTCCATCATTTGCACTTTTATTGTCTAATTTCACAATCAAACGACACTATCTATCTTTTTTTTCCTTCGGTCAATTTTTCTGAATTGTTTTAAAGATTTATCGTTGATAGAGGAATAACATATTAAAATTTGAAGGGAGGTTTACAAGGCAAGATTCGAGATATTCATGCATAAATAATTAACGACTACAGAAAATCTGTCATGCAGAATTTCTTTAAATTTTGATCTGTTCTATTAATCGTCATGCTTAGCAAATGTGCAAAGATTAAAAATATCAGTGAAGGAAACGCTAGAAAAATTGTCTGGTGTCTTTTGGGAAAAGGCTAATTGTCGCTTCCATTTTGAGTTTTTGACAACCTTCGGAATACTTGACACCAAGTTCGCAAGGCAAATTTCAGTAAGGTTGACGCATGCGCAAACATTTTTCCGCGGTGTTGACAAAATATCGATTCGGCATGAACATGTGCGAACAATAACGCGTGAACAACACGAAACGCGTGTGGTTTATAGTTGGCTTTTTTTTAGTAATTTTCACTTTGAGTTTTGGGCTTACATATTTTTACTTATTTGAGATGAAACTAAAAGATATACTCAAAATACGAAAAATTGAGAACACAAATCACAATAACGCATTGAATTAATCCAACGCGTTTTTAAAATTTAATTTAATTGTGATAATCGGTGTGAACATTCAACTAGAACTATGTGCACACGGTATATAACGTTTCCGAGCGTTTCTAAAATGTCGTTTCCAATTTTGCCAGTTTGACGTCCACACGGAAACGTTTTCACTACATGCAAATGTTTGTCTTGACAAAAATTCCATCTCTCGCGGCTTCTTATCACCGTTTATTTTCCACCTGATGGAGTCATTACTTGTCAACGAGTTTCTTAAAATGTCCTCTGTTCATTATAATAAAGTAAACAGTTTATAATCTATGTTCAGCCTCACCGATACGAAGTCTGTCGCTCGTTCCAAAGCAAAACACATTTTAAATCGTTCAGTAAATCATTATAAACTTGAAAGGCTATATATTTTTTTTTTAACTTAGCTTAAGTTAACTAAGTTAACTTTTCTTTGCATAGCCTTCTGTGTAATATATTGGTAAGAAGGACTATTAGTACGATTGATAAAGCTATATTAATATATAAATATTAATACTGATAACTTTAAAAATGTTATACTATTTTATTTTTGGCAAGCATCACTTCCGGTGAAATGGCGAACTGTGATTGGCTGAGAAGTACTTTCAGCTGTCCATTATTTTCCCGTAATGAATTAACCGGCGGTCCATTACGTAAAAACAAACACATAAAACAAAACAGCAAAACTAAGTGAAAAGTTGAAAATTATAATTTAATTTGTTATAAATATGTTTAAATAATAATAAATATGTTTAAATAATAATAAAAAATAATCTGCGAATGGTTTTCAGTGGAAAAGAAGGAATACATTGCCATTGGTATTTTTATGTTTTCTTCAACAAAATGTGTACCACGAACGCTACTAATATATGCATTTCAAATCATGCATTCTCTGTACAGACCTCGCGTTCGGTTAATAAGAAGTTAGTAGGCCTACTGCACTTAAAATAAAAACATAGTTACATAAACCTTTTCCTGAATGATTAATATTAATTATCGCTTCCCTGTATATATTAAACCACCATCGGCAAACTGTTTGTCAGGTTGAGCTCGGTTTTCTGTGCTGCCGAATACGACAAAAAAATGGTTTCTAGTATAGGCCCCTTGGTAGGCTACTATAGTAGCCTATTCCTCTCTATTATTATCTTTTATAGGGTCTTAATTTATATGTATAATCAAATGTATAATTGAATGCATGGGCGAAAATTGTTTAAAAAAAGTTGCTTCCTGCCCCAAGCCCGAATATTGCGTAAAAATTAAATAGTTATATTTATAACATATAACGCGGTGGCAATATATGTTATAACTCTCGACGTAAAATTGAAACGCACAAATTAAAATTGAACCGCACAAATTAATGTTCAAGGATTTATAAATTAATATTTATATTGAACTGAATAACATAAAAATCAAACGACACGAGATTAAAATGAAACGTAGTCGTATATAGATATTGTTAATCAAGGCAGCGTTTACACTGTACCGTTTTCGTAGCGTTCTCGTATTGTTCGAGAGAACTAGACTATTTCCCTTGAGGATTAAGAACAATACGAGAACGCTACGAAAACGGTACAGTGTAAACGCTGCCCAAAACTCACAGGCAATAAAATCATAGTTAATAGAGGAGAGGGTTTGGAAGCTGGGGGCGTGGCCAAATTATGTTATTGTTCTCTGTCACGTGACAATACGGGTGCATCAAAATCTATTTAGTATTAGGAGAATGTATTACAGAGGAGGCTGTTGTACTTGAAAAACGTCTTTTATAGAATGGATATCCAAACACCAGGAGCAAATTGCTTCATATATGGTTGCAGGACAAGTAGAAAACACTTTGGTGTTAGTATTTTTTGAATTCCAACAAAAGATGACGATTTATCGACGAAAATTCGGGAAGCGTTGGCGAGGCTTGTCACAAAGGACGCTGGATCGCGAGATAGATGCAAGTTTACGAAATCAAATCGCTCAACAAACACTTCACGTTTGTGAAAGACACTTTGGAAAGACCCGGCCGAAACATGTAAGTTATTTTCTTATGACTAACTAACAGGTTTCTCTGGTAGAGGTATTGATATTTCGGTATGAACGCTTGAAAGTTACAGCTTAGCAGAAGCTTGCCGTATGTATTTCATGTATCAAATGATCAAATTTGTAGCCATATGGAGCAGGAAATATATATTTATTAATGATTTGCATAAAAGTGCGTTTCGGTCATATTTATATATTAACAGTTAATCCTTGTGTTCATAAAATGAAGGTATACATAAATTCAGAACACTGTCACTGAGGACAGTAGAAACATTTTCGTATACAGTATTAAAACAAAGTATTATACAATATTCAAAGGCTATTTTAATAGCAAAAAGTGGCAAAATAAAGTAACAGGATTTTGTTTGGGCATGTCATAGTATAAGAAAGCCCCATTTACAGTTATTATCTATCTTGTTTGCTGTGAATTTTAGTCATTATAATTACTATCTTAACAATACTTGTATAAATTCAACTTATATATAATCAGGTATTTTATGTTCTGCTTTAGTTCCCACCTGCAAAAGGCGTGTAGCTGGTGCCATTCCTACCTTTAATTTACCCCAGAAAAGCATACCTCTCTACATCGACAATTGGAGCCAGGTAACGTCGCTGGTCGTCACACTGGTCAGAGGAGTAAATGGTATGGTGGATTAGAAGAGGCCTTGCCGTAACGTAAACAGAAGAAGTAATCTGTAGTGAGAAATTTTGTGGGGTTTTTGTACCCAGAGCTGTCATTAAGGACCTGTAGCTGGCCAAAATTACTGCCCACTTGGCTATCTGGCTGCCTACTTTTGTCTCAACAAAGTTCATACGAAACAAAACTGTGAATCAGTAAACAAACCTTTTACTTCCTGTACTTCAGAACATCAAAATAAATTAAAACAAAAGATTAAATGATTTCAAACAGGTCAGGCTTTGATAGGATGTTTTGTAATCTGAAGAACTCTGTAAAACACCTTCCAAAATGCAGGGAATAGCATTTCCGATTGTTTAGATTTTGGGTTGGGGGCATGCACCCAGACCCCTCTAGGAGTCTTGTGCCTTCAATGTTCAATCATTTTTCGGCCACCTACTTGTAAACTTAATGACAGCACTGCTTCAAAAGAGTAATATGCAATAATTTGTACATATGTTATAAAATAATTATTAAAACAGATTATAAATGAATAGGTGAACAATAAGACTAGAACAATATATTACATTAGTTGAATAATTTGTAAAAATTTATACTAATATATACAGTAAATCACTATTACACAAAATTTTGGTAGGCTCAACTTTGAGTTATCATGGTTTGAGAGACAACAACGGCTAGAATCAGAGCACACTGACGTAGTGAATAAGTACACTATTCACATCTGAAATTGGCTGTCAACCAGGGGCATAGGAACCATGGGGCCAAGGCCCCCCAAGTTTTCAGAAGATGCAAAAGTGCCCTTTGAGTGTGGGACAGTGAAATGACCAGCCTGCTTGGCGTGCACTCTTTGCCTAAGAATCAGGCCTTTCAGAACCAGAAATCGGGCTGGAGCATGACAAATGGCAAAATTTGAAACTTAACAGCCATACAGTTTAACAATGTTCTCAAAACACAAGGACATACTGGCATTCTTTTGATACTGCTATGCTATTAGATTGCTCGATAATGTCATTCCACAAACTTTTTGCTAATGGAGGAGCTTGGACATTCTTAATAACTTTATCAACGTGTAAAGAAGTAGGTTTGCCTTAATTCTTGTGTGCTTTCTAAAGCTCGATTCAGCAATTCTAGCAATATCATTAAGTCATGAATTTGGTACCCACAGGGCTGACGGCCCCTCCCCAGCAACATAAGCTGGGTGGTCCAAACTCTTCTGATTTCACTGATAATTACTAGCAGAATACAAACATTAAAAAATATTTCTGGGTATATAATCCTTTGCACATAGGTAAAATCTTCTGGCATCCAACAGTTGGTCTACAAAGCATTTGGAGAGGAATAAGAACTAAGTTTAATACCCTTAGCCCTTAGGTCAATATTGTACTATACAGAGGAAATATCAAAATTTGATATTTCCTCTGTATGATATTTCCTTTGATATCTCCTTTATCTAATATATTATAAGACTTGGTCTTGGAAACTGTGGGATGGGCATGAAATATCATGGAATCTTGGAATAACATTCTATTTTGATGTGACAGAATGATCAAAAGTAACAAATCACACGTTAGTAGACATTGAATCACTGTATATTGGTCAATATCTGGACTTGTAATTGACAATTGGACATAAGCCTTAGGGCCTACTATTTAAGACATTCATATCTAGGTTACAGTATATTGTCTATATATACAGTATTAAGATATTTACTGGTATTAAAGCATGCAGTTTCTTCAGTGTTTATAATAACTTTAGAATATCTGCTGGTAATAGCAAAGTCAACCGTTCGGACATATTCACCAGCATCAAAAGCACGACTTTATCTTCTCTGCATGGATGAAAATATTCTTTCCTTTTCCTTACCTCTCGAATGATCGACAATGCCTTCTCATATGCGTGATAAGTCATATAACATGGGTTTTGATTTTCCCTTTGGCAGTACTAGCTGTAGAATTTGTCGAGTGCTTAATACTGCGTCGATATTCGCACGGGAATTGCTTTAATCCTTCAATCTAAACGACAAATATAAGTCAAATATTAAGTCTAAGGCATCTCACTACATATTGTTTAATTGGACACAGTATAAAGGACTTACTTCTTCAACTGAACGCGATATTTCTTCAGTTAATTCATCCGCGTTGATTTGCAGCAGCTAAATAGTTTGATGAAAATCGCCTCTGTCGTTGTATCTGCATCTCCAGCACCCAGAATTGCGTGAATTTTGCTTTCTGAATCGTATGCCAAACTTGTCGAAGCCATAACAAGAACAACAATGCCTTATTTTAAAATTTATAAGCACAATATCATATTTCTGTAATACTACGCTATAGTAATTTCTGAATTTGATGCACCCGAAATGTCACGTGACGTACCTTTCCAACATCTGAAATGAATTAGCTCGAAAGCCTTTGAAGTTTGCCGGCCTTCCAAAATCCAAACCCTGTCCTCTATTACTGTCGTTCCAATTGAAGTGTTCCTCAAATATTGATTCAATACATTACCTCGGGCTGACCAATTCATCTGATCAAATTCCTCGAAATATTGATACACTTCCTAGTATAATTGTAAACTTCCTGTTGAATAGTTTGAATGCACCAATCACCTTTGTTGTTTGTGCAACTAACCAATCATAAATAGAAAGAAAGTGACCAGAAATGATCAAATTCTTGGAATTGGCTCTTTCACAGGAAGTGTATGAATATCTCGAGGAACTTGATGAAATGAATTGGGTAGCCTGAGGTAATGTAGCCCGCGTGCAGGCCCAAGGGAGCAGGCTCAAGGGAACTTGATAGTGGGCCTGCAAGCAAGGCCCGGTATTTTGTACTTTCCGCGTTCGCCCACGAACGCGGCATTCTGATTGGCTGTTTGCTGTAGATTCTATAATTAGATAAGTGATTCATCACAAAGGCCCTCGATAAGCTTAAAATTCGAAAATTGATCACTTTTTTCGATTATAAATGGAACAAGAACAGACTGTTTATTGTTTACTTGAAGGAAGAGATGTTTTTGCCGTTATGCCAATGGGGATTGCTTGTCGTGAGTTGTTGGAATAGCAACATTACGACTGGGGTAAACTATAGTAACCTTTACTTGAGTTTCATTAATTTCAAACAGACTTGATACGTTATATGTTCCTCAAGAAAATTATCTTTTGGTTGATGTTGAGATGCAGTTGCATGTAAGGACTGTAAGCCTATTCGAAACACTTTGCGACTTACAAGGCTTCGCTGAGAGAACGAAACAGAAGACGGTATATTTAAATTGCCGTTTGAAACGAAACGATCTGGACTCTGAACGCTCTCTTCTTTTGTAGAGTTCTTTACCAAATGAAATAACTGAAATAAATTTCGTACTTTCCGCCGCCAACAAGAATTGCACACACGATCTGATAAGTGAGACAATTTATTTATAACAATGCCAACGGCGACAGCGAAACAACATTATAAATGCTAATGTGGTCGCACGACTTCCCTCACGATTTGAAGTTTGAGACTGGTTTTCTGTTGAAATTCGTCCTAATTTGCCTGTTCCGATTTTAGTTGAAAATGAGCACTTGCAAATTTGGCAATTACTGACTGCGTTGCTTGCTTTTTTGGAGTTAAAACGCAGCCATTTACATATTGTTTATGTTCTGAATATGCAGAGAAAACCCCGCAACATTTTAATGCGAGTTTGTTTGTTAATATTTGGCTGCTGTCATTGGTTCTTTTTTGACAATTGACGCGCGATGGGGGCGTGTTATGAAAAGGGGCGTTTTACAAAATACCGGGCCTTGCTTGCAGGCCCACTATCAGTTCCCTTGGGCCTGCACGCGGGCTAGAGGTAACGTATTGAATCAATATTTGAGGAACACTTCAATTGGAACGACAGTAACTATGTCTGGATGTAGGGAATTGCGAACCTGCAACCTGCAAAATTAACCAGCCGTTTTTATATCGTGTGAGTACTTCACAGCTTGTTTTTACACAACAACAGTTGGATTTTCGTATAATTTTCTCAAATTACATAAATATACTATGGAAACGATGTGCAAATTCGTAAACTAGATGAATTGAACAGTAATCAAAGAATAACAAGCGATGTAATGTTACACAAGAGTTTGGAACGATTTGACTGTCACAGAAGCATGGTAGGTATGCGTTTATTTTTCCTGATTTTTTCATACTTTACTGCCTTCGATCACAATAAATTATACTATACAACATTCCTTTGATATTCTAGTTTTAAAAAAAGTGCATCTTGAAGAGAATTGGCGTGGTTAGTCCGATGTAAATATGGCTTAATTTTACAAGCGAGTCAAAATTTGAATTTCCACCAAATGCAGTCATTACAATCCAGTATTTTGGTCGTATCTTTCAAATTAAGTGTTCATATTGTACTGTATAACATGTATACTGTTTACATTAGATCTATTTAGTGCAAATAATCGCGCCATTTCCAAAATATAAACACTAAATTGATTTAAAAAGTTAATTTTGTTTCTGTCTATAAATTAAGTATAAAATGAACACATAAGTTATTTTAGTTTATTGCCAAACTAATGTCCACCACTTGTTAATTACCCTAGAACTGTTTCCGATCAATCTAAAGTCGTGTTTACACTACCAGCCTTGGCCTGGCCTACATTTTGACAGTGTAAACAGACTTTGGCCTAGCCTTGGCCTGACTTAGGCCAGGAAATCTGGGCCCACTACAACCGGTGGCCTAGGCCTAGGCTGGTGGAAATGTAAACACTTTCGGCCCTGGCTTGGGCCATTGTGTTAACATACTATAATCTATATCACAAATTTACAGTGTCAGATGCGCACAGACCGTCATTGGCGTCATACGAATAGACATAAATTTTCGAGTTTTCTACTTCTACTAACATTTTTAAAGTTTTCGTTGTGAATCACCTGTTTATCTCTAATTCATTAATCATTTGCTACTTATATTTATTTGATACTGTCATATAGTGCGTTTACACACAAGCAATCCTGGATATGATATAGACGATGCAAGCTGTCCATTAAAAAATAACAGTATTCTATTTCAGAAAGCAAAAATTTAAATCTCACTTGTATTATTAAGAATGTATATAAAGCAAAAAATTAAAGCTTATTCATGTCAAAACGAAAGCTGTTTACAAAATTTATAAATGTGGTGAACACTACTCGATTCTTCCAAAACATATAGATGAGCTAAGAATTTTCATGCATAAGGTAAGCTTCGATTTACTAAGTATTAATGACACAAGATTTGACGACTCTATACACAATGACGAAGTTAAGATCCCGGGCTTTGAAATAGTAAGAAAAGATAGAAATCGAAACGGGGGAGGTGTTGCAATTTACTTACGAAATATAATTCCTCACACCGTGCGAGATGATTTAATACCAACTGACACAGACATAGAAGCAATTTTCCTTAATTTGAAATCTATAAACCAAAAGATAAACTTATGCTAGTGTCGACTTGGTATTGCCCGCAAAACTCAAGCATAGAACTATTTGACAAATTTGAAAACTTCTTACAAAAAGCAGATGATGAAAACATGGAACTTATTATAACAGGCGACCTAAACTGCAACCTTTTAGCCACTGAGAAAAATACTCACATTAAGAAACTTAATGACCTAATGGATGTTTATCAATTACAACAGCATATACAGTGTCCGACAAGGGTTTCCATTACCACCAAAACTTTGTTGGACTTAATTCTAACAAAAATAGACGATACCAAGACCGTAAATGCTGGGGTGATACACTTGGGAACAAGTGATCATAGCTTAGTTTTTATATGCAGAAAAATTAGCATCCCAAAAGCGAAGCCAAAAATTGTCGAAACAAGACAATTTAAACATTTCAATGCGGCTCAATTTCAACATGATTTAAGTAATGCGTTTAGTTCATTTCCAAGCTATACAGACCCAGTGGCGTAGCTGGCTAAAAAAAGCGTCCCAGGGGTTCGGGGGCATGCCCCCCCCCCCCCCTTGAAATCTAGAACCTCGGGAATGGCATTTCCTGCGATTTCGAGGGTGGAAGGATGTTACTAAACAAAGTTTCAATACACCTCTAACAGGAGTATTTTCCCTTCGTGAAATACAAAAAATGCCATTTGGCTCAGAGAAGATCTGTGTGAGCTCAGAGAAGTGCTGTGTCAGGCAAAATATAATAGAGAAAGAATATAATTTCACATGAAATTACAAATTACAAGTGAAATTTCACATATGTGAAAAGATTTTACATGAAATTACAAGTGAAATTTCACATGTGAATAGATAAGGATTTCACATGACATTACAAATTACAAAGTGAAATTTCACATGTAAGTGAAAGGATTTCACATGAAATTACGACTAAAATTTCACATGTGAAAGGATTTCACATGAAATTACAAATTACATGTACAAGTGAAATTTCACATATGTCAAAAGATTTCATACATGAAAGTACAAGAGAAATTTCACATGTGAAAAGATAAGGATTTAATTCACATGACATTACAAATTACAAAGTGAAATTTCACATGTACGTGAAAGGATTTCACATGAAATTACGACTGAAATTTCACATGTGAAAGGTTTCGCAAGAAATTACAAATTACAATGAAATTTCACATGTGAAAGGATTTCACATGAAATTACAAGCAGTGGCGGCGCCAGGCCTCAGAAATCGGGGGGTTTGAAGGGCAAACTCATATATTTTTTTCTGGGGGGGGCAAGATAGAATTGTTAAATAGGTAGTGATATTTGCCCATGCCGTTGTCATAGGACTTCCCCCCTCAAGGAGATTCGCCCCCCCCCCACCATAGGAATATCGCCCCTCTTTAGGACATTCGCCCCCCATATATGCGATGTGGTTTATTCAAATTTCGTGATACGTTCATCTTATTAGTGCCTTACACGTTTGAGAATTTAACTCTGCAAAACTAAAACTTTTTTGTCTTCCTCTTCCTCTTTCGACTCCAGTACCTCGTATAACGATAAAAGCACCACATATATAATGCTAAAAGCACCGAATGAAATGAAATTCCGCTATGGCTTTCCATAAGGTTCGTCACGCTCGTTGAAGCCATTGTATACAAATCACAAAAGCAATATCAAATATGATGAATAGTAATATGATAATGACCTACAACCGTCACAGTCGTGAATACTCGCGCAGAAAGCTTCGTGAGAAAGTTTGAATATTAACAACCTCCGCCTTCATAAAATAGCGGGACTTCGGCAATAAAAACAACCGTTCTGGGCATGCGCCGCGCCAATTATCCAACCAGAAACCAGAATTTCTTGTATAAGATAATATTGCATATCCCGCCACATGAAAGTCAGCGGAACACGAGACATGCGATTCACGAAATGCGCGAGTAAGCAATAAATTGCGTGGAAATTAGCTAATTCTGCAGGGTATCACTTGCTAGACAACAAAGAGGTCAAAGAGCAGACAGCAATATTGCGTAAACTTTAAATAAATGACAAATGAAAGCACTGAAAAATGATCATAATTAATATTTAAATTTTCAGAATAAGCAAAGCTGTGATTTTGGCTTCACTATAAAACATTTCATCATTTTTTGGGGAATTATTAGTCCCGCCCTGCGAGACAGCGGGACCGCTAGCTACGCCACTGTACAGAACCAAACATATTTTCCTTGAAATTGCTGATCTTCATGCACTAGTCAGACGACGAAAAGTTAAAAGCGAATACAAACCATGGCTAACTAATGAAATCAAAACTATGAGTTACCATAGAGATTATCTAAAGAAAAAAGCAATTAGTCTTAAATCTGCAACATTTCATGAATCGTATAAACGTTGCAGAAATCAGGTAAATCGCTTAATTATAAGGAAGCAAAAGCTAACTGCTATAAATCAAAATTAGACAATAGTAATAATACCAAGGATTGCTGGAAAGTTATTAACGAACTTTTGAATAAGCAATCCAAATGCATGCAAATTAATGAGGTAAAAGTAAACGGCAGTAAAGTAACGGGTGACACAAACATAGCAAACGAATTCAATAACTTTTTTCTACAATAGGACCAAGGTTAGCGAATGATATTACACCAACTGATTTTGATCCCCTTAGCTGTGTAACACCTGCATCCTAGGTCCTTGAATTCAAGAACATAACCTATTTAGAACTAGAGAGAGTATTAACGGAAGCCAAAGCCTGTAAAGCATCTGGTCTTGACAAAATTTCGAACGAACTCTTAATGAGCCGCAGGAAACACAAGTCACTTGCCTATATATTTAATCTATCGTTTAGTACCGGAATTTTCCCAGACGAAACGAAATTTATTTTATTTACAAAACAGGTGAGAAATCTGACTGTAGTAACTACAGACCTATATCTGTGATATCGGCCGTGGCAAAAGCATTCGAAAAGATTGTTTTCAATCAACTAAACAACTTTCTTAATCAGAATACGATTATCTCAACACATCAGTCGAGGTATTCGTAGTCGACATTCAACAGAAACTACACTTCTTGATACTACAAACCAATTACTCGTAAACATGGACAAGGGTTTGATTAGCGGCATATTATTCTTAGATCTTAAAAAGGCTTTTTGACACAGTCGACCATGAGATACTTCTCTTTAAATTAGAACGATATGGAATAAGAGGAAGAGCCTTACAATGGTTCAGATCAAGGAAACAAATGTGCAAAATTAATGACTCGATTTCAAATCGGTTAAAAAGATCAGGTGTGGAGTTCCCCAGGGATCAAACCTTGGTCCTCTGCTATTTCTTATTTACATAAACGATCTGCCTAATTGTTTAGAAACAACTCGAGCGTCTATGTTCGCGGACGATACCAACATATCATGCTGTAGCAATTCACCCAATGACAATGAACACAAACTAAATACCGACCTCGAAAACGTACATAAATGGTTATTAGCCAACAAATTGACGTTGAATACAGAAAAAACCCAGAATTTATGATAGTCTGATCTCTGCAAAAAATAAATGATATGCCCAATGTTCCACATATAGTCATTGGAGATCCGATAATAAATCAAGTAACGAGCAAAAAGGTTTTAGGGGTCATAATTAATGGCCAATTAAAGTGGCACGATCATAATGACACACAGTGTAAAAAAATCTCAAAGGGTATAGCCCTCTTGAGAAGAGCAAAGCCTTTTGCAACACTAGATACATTCCTAACAATGTATAAGTCGCTTCTTTTACCACATTTCACATACTGTTCCACTGTATGGCATGATGGAAACAACTCACACATCACAAAGCTACAAAAATTTCAAAAATGAGCGGCGCGGGTGATAATAAATTCAAGTTATGACATTAGATCACACGAGATATTTGATAACCTAAAATGGGAGCCAATTGAAGCTACTTTTACTAAAAGGGAACAAATAATGACCTTTAAGGCACTAAGAGGCATTGTACCAACATATTTGACTGAACTATTCACCACTAACAACAATACCACATACAGTCTAAGAAGCAATAATCGAAAGCTTTACCTTGACAAACCAAAAACAAATTTCTTAAAACGTAGTTTTTCATATCGAGGAGCAATGTCCTGGAATAGCCTACCACTTGAAATCGTCGACAAATACGGCGATTTATCAATTGATTCATTTAAAAGACTTATCAATCATAAGGATTAATAAATTTGTGAATTTATTATGTAAATAGTATTTATTAGGTAATTTGATTATGTATTGCATTTTAGTTGTTGCACGGCTCTTTGAAAACCAGGGAACTGAAAGATCACCGTGCTTGTAAATAAGTTTAAATAATAATAATAATAATAATAATAATACTAATAAACACTACTAAACAGTACTCATTGAAAGACATGTATAATATAGTGAGTCGACATAAAATTTGTAGTTTGACTTATCTTTGGTGTATGATTTTAATACCGTAGATTTTCAACGGACAGTTATACTCTGACATATACCATGATCGTTGGTTTCAGCAATGCCAAGGGCCAATTTTATAGTCTTTTGACGGGCTTTAAGTTTTTTTGATAAGGCCTTTCCTTTATATAAATCAACAATCTGGATATTTCGAAAATCAAAAGATCTCGTCACTCTTTCGTTGCAATTCCACATCTCATCAATAAATAAATTATTTTGGTCCGAGTATCAGGATAGACTTGAAGTACTAAATAAATAACAACCACATTGTTTGGTCTCGAGATATATTTTTTCCTTTTAGGTTTAATATTGCCACGCTACACAAGCGGCAAGCACGCTTTCTTTGGCAAGTCTATAAGTTGAATATTGAAATCTGATCCAACTTGCTTGAATTGTAACTCGACACCAGATTATAGAGTAGAAAGTCCCGAAATAAATATTAACGTTCTCTTCACGATCTCTCTTCACGATTTCTTGTTGCAAATTTACAGTGAATTTCATCAACCAAAGTTGCAATTTTAAAACGCTACAAACATGCACGCTCATATCCCATCCTACCCATAATATAATTTTAATTTACCTCCCGGAATCTTGGAGGCACGTCTCTCCCAAAGGACAGAAGGAGAGACCCTGGGAACGAGATTGCACCTACAGTATCAGAAGCCGCACGTGGTAAGATCTACACGAATCTGAATTGGGTTAATTTTTTCAGGAACGTTCGTGCTTGGGAGTGATATTTTAATGGGAGTGATCTTCAATTACAGCGGTACACAAGGCACAAACATTCATTATTAAATGTTGTATCAACTTTGATTGAAACAAACCGGTTTTACTCTACATAACTAGTATGAAACTAACCCCATGAACTGGGTAGGAAAAATTCCTCCTAGCTCTGCAAACGTCAGATAAAAAGATTAGGGTTGGTGATTTCAGTAGCCAACAGCTAGGCACGGTCGGGAAACCAAACATGAATGAAAACCCATTGCGAATATACAGTAATATCTATGATCACAAGAAAAAGTTGCTATAGGATCACTAATTAAATTCTGTGTCTGAATGTTTATTATTTCTCTGCATGTATTATTACGAATTTTCTTATTCTTTAGATTAATGACCAGCGAGCTTATGTCAACCCTAAACATGGATGAGCATGGCATTAAAACAGATAGGAAAGGTGGTGAAAAACAAGAGAAACACAAGGCAAGAACAAATCGGTAGCATTTATGAACTATATTTATGTTAAATATTTTTGTGTGTATCAATGTATATGTTAATTGATTAAATATTTTGAAAAAATGTCCGGCGAGTGTTCTTTTGCTAGGAAAAGCCGAAGCCAAGACGCGTTGGGTTTGAGTCGAATTGACTTCGAAACATGCATGTCGATTTTTACCTGCTCTTAAACATCGATACGACGTCGAAAATGCAACATGGAAACGAAATGGATTTCCAGACGTTGAAACGAAGTCTATTCGTAGACGTTGAAACGACGTCATTTCATAGACGTTGAAACGACGTCGATTTCTAGACGTTGAAACGACGTCGATTTCCAGACGTTGAAACGACGTCGATTCCGTTTGCGTTTTCAACCCTTTTTCGACGTCGATTCGACGTCATCCTCTGACGTCGTTTCGACGTTGTTTCGACGCCGTTTTGCCGGCTGGGTTTCTTCTTTTTTCTTGTCGATCTTGTGACTTATATGCATATATATGTCTACTGTAACCATGTGGTTGCAGGTTATGTACGTTTCGCGAATTTAACTAGAAAATACATGCATGCAGAAACCCTCGCCTTACTGACAAAACCATTATGTTTTCTGAACATAAAGTATTGAAAGTAGTTGTCATGGTAACACGATAGTTTTAAGAATAGTTTTGAATTAAAAATTCCCTCCAAAATATCACTTTTCATTACAAAATGATCAATTTCCCAAACATATATATGGTAGGTATGCTATTATACGTAATATACGCTTCAATTTAATGTAAAATTCAACCACAAACGCTTCGCAAAACGTTTTAAAATGTTCTTAAAACTAAACTGCCTTTTATCGAATTATCGGTAAATATTGAGTTTGAAATAAACTGCTATAAAACAAACAATACATCAATATTCAAAACAAACTTACCTTCATTTATATCGGGGACTTTGCTCTATTCGTTTAGACGATTTTAGGCTCTCAGAAAAGTTTTGAAATTGACAAAATCATCCAAAAATACAACTTGCAAGAAATGTTTGTTATTTCCCTGTCGTCATGCAGTCGTTATAATGCAAATTTCAAATTTGACCAAACAGTGTTCACTATTCAGGACAGTCCGCTACATATTTTGAGAGTGAGGATGAACTTTAGACACCAGTGAGGATGAACTTTAGACTTCACTAATGCTCTCGTTTCCCCGGTTGTAAATAGCCGGGGGGAATTAGTACTCTCACCCCGGACTTACGCCCGGAACGGCGCTCCGCGCCGTTGGCTCGCGGATAAATGTAAATGTAAAATGTAAATTGTTCGCCCATACTCGATTACTGTGAAGTATGGGATGCGTTTGGTGAAACATGCAATCAAAACGACTTCAAAAACTGCAAAATATTAGAATTATCTTGAATATGAGTAATGACACTTATTCACTTACAATTATTTTTAATCAGTCTATTACTCTATCTTCTTTTTCTCATCAATGGAAAATGGCTAAAGTAGTACCTCTGTAGAAAAATTGTAAATCACGCTATTGCATGCTCTGTGTGAACTGTGTTGGGAATCACTCAAAACATTAAGGAAGAAAGCTAAAGCAAATATTAAGTATAAAGATTAAATAAAATGGGGCCAATTCACTCAAAAAACTATTTAATTAAATATAAATGAGAGAAGACAAACTATCCCCTTCGGGACATTTCAACTGGTCTTTGTTTACCAAAACCTCGTTCTAATAACATAACAAATAGTTTCATATACGACGGAGCAACACTTTGGAATTCTAGTCCAGAAGAAATTAGGAAGAAAAAAACACTTTCTTCCTTTTCGTAATAAAATTTGTGCTCACATTTATGAGTATATATTACTAATAAGTATTGTAAATAATATGCCTGTATAGTCTTTCGTTCAACTTTCTCATTAGTTGACATGCATCTAAGGACGTAAACGAGCTTATATTCAGTTAAAAAATTTGCATAGCCAAAAGTCTCAAATTTGATTGGTTACATAAAGGATATGTGCTAATAATTAAGGTGCATAATAGCGACCTAAGTATAGATTATGTTGTTATGAACTTATCTTAAAAGTATAGATCATTCGGCATTGAAGTAATGACTACAAGATTTAAAAGAACATGTCACAATTCGATGTACATTATAATGTTCAAACCTTGTTGTGCCAGGACAAAATTTCATTCGCATTACAAGTTGCATGAAGCAAATTTGGTAGAATTTGCACGAATATATGAACAGAACCGTCAACTAAATAAAAGAATGATCGAATAGATATACAAGCGAACTCATATGCAGGGGCGCACATCAAAGGAATTTCTAGGGGGGTGTGGGCCACTTGGGGACCGACTTTTTGATATTCAAAAAGAAATTAAACAGAAGGGTAAAAAACAATTTTGCAAAAACATCATGCCACCGAACAGGGACGAGGGAATGTATTTGAAGTCAGGGGGTCAAGTCCCACGAGGCGCCACCATGGTTGGCGCCGAGCGAGAAAATTTTCAACATTTAGAACCTCTAGGTCGCCGGAAACGACCATTTCAGAGTCTTAACTCTACCTAAATTTCGGCTCGTTCAGGTGTACGAACGAAGGATTAAGAAAATTCATCCCTTATTTAATAGTTCGCTCAATTTCTGCATTTGTTCAATCTGTTCCAGATCAATAGAATCAAATAAGTCTTTTTCTGAACTGAAGAATCAAAACATGTGTATAGGCCTATGAGCTCCCGTGTGAATACCAGGACGTGTTTATTAGTAATGTTAGTAATGTGTATGAGCTGTCATGAGAATATCCGTTCGCAGGCCACAGGTGCGAAATCGGATAGTAGCACAGAGAGAGAGACGAGTTTATTTCTTCGAATATAATTGTTACTTTCGTCCGTCCATATAAAATACTGAAAATAATGAAAATTAGAAGTGTATAATAACAACTAGCAAAACAATGAAATCAAGATAATAAATAATCTGAATTAACCATCTAAACCTTAGCGGGTGCGCTACGATTTGATGTTTAAAAATCAAAAAATAGTTTCTTACACATTAACACATACACATAGGCTTGTTCATAACATCTTACCAACCAGCTCTTGTGTTGTCGGCCCAATTCACGGAGTCGGACAGAAGTAAATATTAATTCTCATACCCGAATTTTGTGACCGAGTTTTCGCACAGTATCATAGAAGAATGGGACCGACTTTTAGTGATATTCGGACGCTAAGGGGTGTTTCGCACCAACCCCCGCCCCTGCTCATATGCAACTCAGTGTCGTAACTCGTTCACTCCTTTCGGGCTAGCCTAAAGGCAGTCAATCTTAATTAAAGGAAAAGAGGCGAGTATAAGCTACGGTTTCGCTTAAGATAAACAAAAGTTTAACGCATACATTTCACAATGCCGCAACTCACAATACTGTATATACGGTTGGAAAATAGCCTATAGTATTTTTAATGTCACTAGACTTAGTTCATATATACGCATAGCTTAATTATATGTGAGTTTTTGCAGTACAGACTGCAAACGTGCTACACAAACAATTTGAGCCATGCCTCCGAGAAAAAGAGTGGCAATCAGACAAGTCCGAAAATTAATTTGTCCAGCTGAACGAAATATGCTTCGCGAAATGCACAATTTTGACAGGCACGCATCTCGAGTATAGCTATGTTTTTTATCTGTACAAATTGTTCTATGTAGTAAGAGTAAAAAGTAAAGACAAATTCCATTGGGCAGGTTAACAGTGGGTTGCGAATAATCTGTCAAAATACTATCTGCATATGATTTATTACCTATATTTTATGACCATGCAAATTACAGAACGAATAACTCAGGACAACATATTTAGCATACAAGAAAGGTAATGCAACAGCCAATAGAATCTTACTATTTTGCGTTCAGCCGTGTTTTGCATATAGGCCATATAGTGAGAGCCAATAAGAAACAGTGATTTTGCGTGTCGTTCGTCGAGTTAATGATATTAATGAGGCTTTACGTCCTTAGATGCAGGTCAACTATTAGACATTAATATGTTACTCTTTTAATACTCTATATCTTTTAAAACTTTATTAGCTCTAATTATCGATCACTTTCTTGTACATTTAAAACTCGGCTTATTTTTTTTTGCACACGCCGCTAGTGAAAAGCAGCTTCGGTTGACGGGGTCAGCTTGTAAAAATAAAATTTCTATTTATCTATCTAGTCAGTCTTCACTTGTTTCTTATACTTAGACAAACGGGTATATAAGAGTTTAACTGTTATTGGATAATTACTGCATCAACCGGCTCCTAGTTTATACTTTGGAGGTTCGTATATCTATCAAGTATCTTTGGTTCAGAACATGATAGGCCTATATGAAAATCCAACCGTTCGATTCAGTGAAGAAATATCTCCTAATTTCTATCGATAGTTTTAGTAAAATGTCAACATTATTGCGAGTTATGGCCTTTGAAAGTCAAGCGATATCGTATATTATCAAATTACTACGCATGTAATTGTCTGAACGAAAATATACGGACTAGCCCATACATTTCGCCTATCATAACTTCGGCCCCTTCGGACGTATCTTCTTTGTTAAATATTCTTGTTCGAATAGCTATCAAAAACACTACTTAGAGTGTTATTTTTCAGCTTGTATCTTTAAATTTGCTTCTTTTATTATGGTATTCCATTTCTGGTCTGATTTGACATACCCTGGCCCAGAGGGTTTTTTTAGGTTTGGCGAACGCGAAATGCGAGAAAACGCGCGAAGAAAAAGGAAAAACCTCTGGTGAATTTGTTAGCGATTCCTGGTTCGGATAAGGAATGCAAAAAATGTATAATGACTTAATGCATCATATTCTAAAAATATTATCCAATCATTATCCTTGACGCCAGGCCGTCTAGACAGGGTTTTATCGCATGTATGCTGTCCACTCCAGTGTATGCCTGTCCATTTGTACACGGTTATAGCAATATTCATTCTCCTGAATTTCGTCAATTTAAAACATCACATCTATTCAATTTAATATAAATATATATTTATATTCATTCACTTTAATCTTGCAATATACATTCAATTTAATCCTGCAATATACATTCAAAAAAATCTGTATTTAAATTTATTAAACACACCTCTTTGGGCCGCCGTGAACTTTGTCTGTTAATACAAAAGCAAGCAAATTTGTCTTGTAGATTTCAAATGAAACCATTCCTCTCCAT